TCTGTGCTGCTTGGGGCAACAACAAATTTTTTTGTGGTAATGCGGCATTTGAGGCCTCCAGTGCAGCGTTAGCAGAGGGCATAGTTTTTTTTTCTTCTTCTTTGGGCCATCCTTGATTGCTCTTCAGGCCACAGGCAGGGAGCTGGATGCAAAGTGGGATAGCCAGGTCACAAACCTGTGCCCATCTGGGTTCCTGGTGCTTGCAGGCAAGGATTTAGCCACTGAGCCATTGTACCAGGCCCAAGACGACTGCTGTTAAGAAAGACAGAGAAGGCGTGTGTGGTGTTCTAGATTTGGAATACCTAGGTAGCCTATGCTTGCCAAGAGCACAGATACCCAAGCATCCCTGAATTGGCATACAGTTTGGAGCAGAAAATGTCCCCCATTGCTGTTTTACTAAGAACCCTTGCAATAATGCTAATTGGTAACAATTCATATCCCAATGTCCCAACGCCCCAACCCCCAAAAAACAAACAAAAAACATGCATTTTCTTGCTCACAAAACCCATGGCTAATTTGAGGATGGAGGATGCAAGCCCAGCCCACCTCTGCTCCATAGTCTTCATCATTCTGAGAAAGGACCAGAGATGGCAGAACGTCTAAATGCAAGAGAACGAGCCGACACTCCCACAAGTGCGTTGAACGTCTCGGCTTGCGTCACATTCCCCAGTGCTGTGCTGGCCAGCGGTGGGGACCTGACAGAGGAATGTACTCTGGCCTCCGAGGAGGTCCTGCAAATCCCTTGGCCAATGCAAGAGTCTAAAGCATGCAGGGAGTGCACAGGCGTCAGACACGCCACAAGCAGCTAGCAAGCATCATGGCGGGAAACATGACAACACCTATCAGGTCTTATTAGACGCTGCATCAAGTGCCTGCACAAACGGAGATCACACGGCAGCCTACATTTATAGTTCAGAAAAATGAGGCCAGGCAGGACTAAGATGCAGAAGTCCCCTAACCCTGTGTGTCTCAGTTCTTAGCCCAGCCATCTGTGCCTCCCGCATCCTTCTCAGAGCGGCTCCTGTCCTTGCCTCAACCCACTGCCCTGCGTTTCTCTATGTGCCTCTGACCCGGAACCTTCAACTGCCAGAAGGACGCAGATCTGGCAAAGTCATTCTCCTCCCGCCATGGGAGAATTTGTGCATTGCCCAGAGCCTCGCAGAGAGAGCCAGCATGGGATTCCAACACTGGCCACGCCCTGCTTTGCTCCCTCTCCCCTACCCTTGCATGTCCCCAGGAGTTTGCTCCCATCTTTGTATCAGCTCTCTTCCTTTTCCTCCTCTTGCCAAATCTTCTCTGTAGGCTGTCCCCTTCCAAGAAACCTCCATCCCATCCTTTAGACTTATTAGATGTCCCCTGTGATTTTGTGGTACTTACCTTGCGATAGCAGACTCCCCCGTCTGTGTCTCCTTCTTGAGTTTTCCCTTGAAATCTGATTTGTCCATTCCCTGTTTCAGATCCACCTGAGGGTTCTGCTTCAGCACAGCCTCCCCCAAGCCCAGCAACTTGGTATCTCCTCCATGCGGAGCTCAGCAGTCTGCGTTGTAGAATGTTCCACAGTGAGAGGTAGGTAAGAGTCACACACGTCTTGGCTGCTCCACAGTTCTAATCCGGATTCCTGCTAGTGTGCACGGGAGGCAGCAGATGATGGTCCAAGTAGTTGGGGGTTCTTCCCCCGCATGTAGGAAAGCAAAATGGACTTCCTGGCTCCTGGCCTCGGCCCTGGCTGTAGCAGGAAAGATCTCCGTTATCTGCCTTCTCACCTTTCTCTGTCAGGCCACCACTCAAGGAGAAAAAAATGTAAAAAGCAAAATATTTTAAAATGTGTCCTGCAGATGCTTTCGAGTATTGCCAAGTGTGAGAATCAGCACAGCACACAGGCCAGTGGCCACGTGGACTCGCACTGCAGCACCTGGCACAGCACCTGGCACAGCACCCATGCCATGATCCACACACAATCCTTTGGCTGAGCCAAGGGCGCCCTCAGCTGCGGTATCCGCAGAGGCCAGCAGATGGCGCCGCCGTCCCAGAAATGCGTCTGTGCTGCTTGGGGCAACAACAAATTTTCTGTGGTAATGCTGCATTTGCTGCCTCTGGTGCAGCAGGTGGATGCAAAGTGGGATAGCCAGGTCACAAACCTGTGCCCATCTGGGATCCCGGTGCTTGCAAGGCAAGGATTTGGCCACTGAGCCATTGCACCAGGCCCAAGACGACTGTTCTTAAGGAAGACAGAGAAGGCATGTGTGGTGTTAGAGATTTGGAATACTTTGCTTGCGTCACATTCCCCAGTGTTGTCCTGGCCAGCGGTGGTGACCTGACAGACGAATGTACTCTGGACTTTGTCCCTTCCGGCAGGACAGTCAACAGGGGTCGCAACCACCTAGTAGAGAATGAAGGGGAAAAGAGACACAAAGAATGGACAGCAAGACAGGATGTCTGATCAAGCTATCAGTTTATTGATTTTAATTGAGGGTTTTTATATTCTTCAGTAACTAAGGATCAGGGGGGAAAGGAGAAACTAGGATGCAAGCCATGGTCTCCAGACCGATTGTTCTTGAGCAGCCACCATATCAACCATAGTAACCAGCATATCAACAATAACATAGGCAATCAGTAACAAGATGTCGGCAGGTACAGCATCAATCACATTCTGAAACAGTTGCTACAAACAAGTGAAGCTAAGCATGTGTTTAGTTTCTTAACTTGTTTCCCAAGCATGTAGTCAGCCGGGGGTTTTCCACTGGCCCACAGTTCTGTATTCAAAATGGCTTCAGTGTGGCTATAGTACACGGCTCCTGACATCTCACCCTCTTTTCTACATATCAATGAAAGCGGCGAAAAGGAAAAGGTTCCTTGAGGCAAGATAAGCACTGCCTGTCTTAGGTTCATTCTGAGGGACCCTCAACTCTTACCCATCTCTGCGCAGCCCTGCCAGTCATCCAGGGCACCCTGTCTTAGGTTGCCGGGGTATCAGAAAGGTGCCCGTCATTGGCTAAATGCTTTCCCAGGAAAGGCTATGCCTCATTATGTTAGATGAGCCTCTTTGAAGGCTGGAGCCGCACGGCACGATGTGGGGGTTATCACTTGGGGAGCCTGAGCCATCGCAGCAACCATCAAGGTTGTTATGGCCATAGCCCCGTTCCATTTCTTGAACATGCAAGCTGCCAGCTTAATGCCATTTAGAATAACTTCCCCTGACGTGGGTAGAACTCGGGTCTCATTTACTTTAATTATACTGGTGGCTAACTGACTGGTGAAATTTAGCAAGGCGTTAGACCATTGTCCCCAGCGGTATTGATTGATTTTTATCACTCTGGCTGAGATATTGTGAACTTTTACTGGGGTGACCCATATATGATGGTATATTGGGGAGCAGCTGGCTGGTGAGAATCAAAAAGACATACTGAACAATGTACAAGTATTGTGGTTCTTCCCCCGCATGTAGGAAAGCAAAATGGACTTCCTGGCTCCTGGCCTCGGCCCTGGCTGTAGCAGGAAAGACCTCTGTTATCTGCCTTCTCACCTTTCTCTGTCAGGCCACCACTCAAGGAGAAAAAAATGTAAAAAGCAAAATATTTTAAAATGTGTCCTGTAGATGCTTTCGAGTGTTCCCGAGTGTAAGAATCAGCACAGCACACAGGCCAGTGGCCACGTGGACTCGCACTGCAGCACCTGGCACAGCACCTGGCACAGCACCCATGCCATGATCCACACACAGTCCTTTGGCTGAGCCAAGGGCGCCCTCAGCTGCTGTATCCGCAGAGGCCAGCAGATGGCGCCGCCGTCGCAGAAATGCGTCTCTGCTGCAGTGTCCGCATAGGCCAGCAGATGGCGCCGCCGTCGCAGAAATGCGTCTCTGCTGCAGTGTCCTCAGAGGCCAGCAGATGGCGCCGCCGTCCCAGAAATGCGCCTGTGCCGCCATGGAGCGACAGCGTAATGTGGCATTCGAGAGCTCCAGTGCAGCGTTAGCAGAGGGTACAGTTTTTTTTTTTCTTCTTCTTCGGGTTGTCTGCAGTTTGCTTCCGGCGCCTCATACCGGAAAAGCTTGCGCTGGAAGGAGTTTTTGTGTGTGTTTGAGTGGACGTGGAGGGGAAGCCCAGGAGCGGCTTGGGACGCGGGGATGGAGGCGGCGCCCGGGGTCAGCGTTCTCTCTCCCTTCTCCCTTTTCACCCTAAATGCCCGAAAACCCCCAAAGCGCCGGGCGATCGCGGCCGCGGGAAATGAGCCCGGAGCTCCCCACGGGCCGCGGCATCTCAGGGAGAGGAGGGCGCAGGCCTCCTAGGACCGACCGATCCTGGGCGCGGGCTCCACCCCCCCCCCCCCCCCCCCGGAGCTCCTTTCAAAGCCGTTTTTCTTTTTCCCTTAGAAACGCCAAGTTGGAGGCGGAGTCCTAGGCTCCCCTCGAGGTGGAGGGCAGTGAGCCTCTTCCCTTCCTCCCCTTGGCCTCCAGGAGCACCCGCCTGTGCAGCACTTGATAGCAAGGCCCTGAGCGCCCGGCGAGCTATCGCGCCCTGCCAGAGCCTGGGGGCTCCCCCCAAAGCTGTCTCCCCCAAACCCTGCCTGGGGTCCCCCTGGGAGCGGCTGGCTGGCCCTGGGCGCTTGGAAGTGAAGCTGTTAGGCTGCAGGAGATGGCCAGCCCTCTTGTGTCTGCTCCTTATGCAGGGCCACCCTTAAAAAAACAACTTCCTAATGGGGGGAGGTGACAGGGTTCTGGGGGTGGGAGCAGAAGTGAGACACAAAATTCCTTAACAAGAAAGAGAGCAATGTGTAGGCCCTTCTCTCTTTTTGAGTGAGCAGGTGCCTTAATCGTGAGGTCGGGAGGGAGGCGGTGGCAGGTGGAGAGATGGGCAGAACTGGGGTGCTGGGTCCGGGAGAGGAAGCGTGGCTCGGGGTTTCCAGGAGCAGCCAGGGAAGGTCAAGAACAGGTGTGTACCTGCATGGCAGGGGAGGGGAGGAGATGTTGGCGGAAGGCGGACAAAGTTTCCTGTTGGTGGAAGAAGAGCTCAGAAAAAAAGAAACTAGACTTTAACCTGTGTTGGGTTGGAATGGGACAGATTGGTGTGAACGTGAGAAAAACCAGCAAAGGGGATCACGCACACAGAAATATAAATGTAAGCATACTCTGCTTATATGTTTGTAAACAAAGTCCTGTGTTGTCACTTCAGGCAAAGTCTGCAGCATGCAGTCCTGATTCTACTAAATTAAAATAATAACAATAATAATTATATATATATATATATATGAATCTGTGATAGCTTGTTGAGGGGTCTAAAGGAAGAAAGTTTTCAAAGAAGCACACTGCAACTCGCCTCAACGCTCCTTCTGGCCAAATCTGGGGCAACCGGGACATACAAGAAGTAATGACAAAGGTATCATGCACGGTGAGCCATCTGCCCCATTGGGGAGTGTGGAATTCATGAGTGGCTACGGACCCAAAGTGATACATAAATAAATAGAGAATGAAAAAGAAAATGAAACATTCAGAGTGTAAAATGCTCTACACAGTGCCTGCTGGTTCGGACAAATGAGTGTTTCACCGTGAAGAAGGGAGGTGTGCCGGACCTGGTCACACGCCGACAGTGTTAACGTTACCACGTGGAAATGCGCATACAAAGCTTTTGTGTTTCTGTTTATGATCTGAAGTTCATCAGGAGACAACCTCAATGGTTGAATCTTCCCCTTGCAAGCACCAGAATCCCAGATGGGTGCCAGTTCGTGTCCTGGCAGCTCCACTTCCCATCCAGCTCCCTGCTTGTGGCCTGGGAAAGCAGCAGAGGACGGCCCAAAGCCTTGAGACCCTGCGTTCACATAGGAGACCTGGAAGAAGCTCCTGATTCCTGGCTTCAGATGAGCTTAGCTCTGACCATTGAGGCCAACTGGGGAGGGAATCAGCAGACGGAAGATCTGTCTCTCCTTCTCTCTGTAAATCTACCTTTCCAATGAAAATAAATGAATCTTAAAAAAAGAAGACACGGCTGGAACAAGAGTGAAGCTCGAAGGAGTCTAGGAATAACATACCGGCTGCACTTTGGTGGGATTTTTCTTGACTTGGACAGGAAGAATGTTGTTATAGGAAATACACAATGACAAATTTAGGGTGTTTGGGCACCATGTTAGCAAGTTCTTTTCTTTATTATTATGATGATGATATTATTATCATTTTAGGATAATGGCATTTTCCTTTTCCTCTTCCCTAACCCTCCCCTCCCCACTGAGTTCCCCCATATCATTATAACAGCATAGTTCCTCAGATAGTCATACATCTATTATTGTGGCCATGGACACTAGCAGAGAGTCCAGCATCCCATTGTCACGATGCATCCAAAAGCTTCACTGGGAGTCCATCCTCAATCTGGAAGTAGAGATGCACACTGCCCTGCATCCTCACATCCTCACATCTGGACATGACACTCTCCACTGCACAGTCACTATAAATCCCCCCAGGTGAAAAGCCACAAAACAGAACCAACAACAGGAAAAAAAAAAAAAAAACAACCAGAAATTTACAATGCCATGAAGTTAAACAACACGCCACTGGATATGATGGTCTCCATTACACAGTTACTGCACAGCCTCTTAAATGAAAAGCCACCAGACAAAATCAACAACAGAAAGAAAAAACCAGAAACTTAGAACACCATGAAGTTAAATAACATGCTGCTGAATGACTAATGTGTTGCTGAAGAAATGAAAAAGGAAATTAAGAACCTTCTTGAAGAAAATGATGCTACAAGTATGGTCTGAGTTATTAAAGAATCTAATGAGAAAAAAAAACGTGTTTTGAAGAAATGCAGCTAAGAATATCAAAATCCATGAAATATAGTTTCTGAGCAAGTTATTTTCAAGCAGATAAGGAGGAAAAGGTCATTTGTTTTATATTTTCCCAATTTCTTACGAACCTGCTATTGCTTTGGGATAAAAATACTGTATTTAAAAATGCTATATTTAATCGTGGGCCTCTTGGCCCGCAATTAGAGTGCTGCATCAGAAGGTAAGGCTTAAACTGGATCAGAGGAGTGGGGAGGCATCTCTGATGTGTGGGGAGCGCCCTTAGCAAAAGTCCCAAGACAGGGAGAAGAATGACAGCTACCTGGCTGATGTTGTCCCTCCCACCCAGGACAAAAGGCTTGCTATATAGACAGCGGCCATAGGATAGATGCTACACTCTGGTGGGATTCAGGGGAATGCAAATGCTATGGATAACTCCATTAAATCACAATGGTGTGATTTTTTGTGAGGACTGTTTCAAGCAAAGCAAGATGTGTGGGAATTCAACAAGAGGCTAGGTGCTTGAGGAGAGTGGATGCAATGACAGGCGTCCGTGGACTTCTCTCTGTTCTCTTCCCAGTGACATTTGCTGCACTGACCCCTCAGAACATTCTCTCCTTGGCTGGAAGACAACGTCAGCACTAGAGCTAGAACTGAGGTGGCTGGAGTGGGCTGTTGCACTTCTTCTAACTCCTGTGCAGGTCTGTGTTTGCAATGAGATTCTTTCCCCTTTGGGTCTAGGACACAGAGCTTCCCAGTGGGTTTTGGGGCCAGCTGACCTGCCTTGTCAGGTCTAACGGTTAATTTTGTGGGTCAAGTTGAATCCAGGATATGTGGTTTCAAGATATCTGGTCAAAGTTTATGTTCTGTGTGTTTTTGGGTGAGCCTATCTTTGCAGTTGGTAGAGCAAATACAAAAGATATCCTCTCCGACCCCCAGCCCATAATGGGGACAGACCTGGTTAAATCCTTGCATAGAATACAAGGAAGCGAGAGTTCACCCAGCTAAGAGCCTTCAGCTTTCTCCTGTCTTTGGACTCGACCCAAGTCGTTGGCTCTTGCTGGGAGCCGAGTTGGCTCCTGCTGGCCTCTGGACAGGAGCACCACTCTCAGCCTTCTGGGTTCTCTGTACTTTGGACTCAGCCTGCAGTTAAAACTCTGCTTCTTCCTGGTCTCCAGCTTGCTGAGTCACCCTGTGGCTCCCGGGGCTAGTGAGGCTCTGTAGTGAGAGGCTCCACAGCCCTCCTCTGAACCCTGGAGGTCCAAAACGCTCTGAAATCTGCAACGTTTTGTCCTCGAAAAGATTTTGGATTTTTTAGAATATCAAGCATTCCAAAATCTAGAGAACTCTGAAATTGGAGACACTTTTCTAGGGAGGCTCATGCATTTTACATAAGAAATTCTCTATTTGGGGCCAGCATTGGGGCAGAAACAGTAAAACCACCGGGTTAAGCCTCTGCCTGCAATGCCAGTATCCCACAGGGGCGCCAGTTCAAGGCCCAGCTGCTCCACCTCTCAGCAGGTTCCTGCTTATGACCTGGAAAATCAATGGAGGATGACCCAAATCTTTGGGCCCTTGCATCCCCTTGGGAGACCCAGAGGAAGTCCCTGGCTTCTGGCTTCCGTTTGGCACTGGTCTGGCTGATTGTGGCTATTCAGGTCAGCTGGCCTCCTTAGCACAGCAGGCATGCTCTGACAGTTGGCAAGTCATCAGGTCCTAAAGCATCTGGGAAATCATGTTTCCCATATAATGAACTCTCTCATCCAGAGTCGGCCCATGACTTCAGAGATGACTCATAGATCAAAGGGCAAGAATGCCCCGGTTATGGTTGCGATAAAGAGACAAAGGCCAAGGCAGTCATCTCGGGTAGGGCTGGAACTATGGACTTCTTGGGAGTGATGTTGCTCCCCGTCACAGCCGCAGCCCAGGGCATTCTCCCAGAAAGCTGCCAGGACCCATTGGTTTGTCTTCATGAGGAGGGGTCAGGCCACTGCTACCTCTGGTTGGTGTCAGCAGCCAGGAGGTTGGGAAGTCCATAGTAGGGGCATCTCTTATAGCGGATGTTGGTGTCTTTGTCCAGTGTCCTTGTGCCAAGGGAGGGAGGACTGCTCAGGGACCAAGGGAGCTGGTCCTGGAAGTAGATCACAAAGCCAATCCTCCAGTTGCGGGGAGCACTGATGGGGCCTGGCAGAACAGCCTGAATCACAATGGCAACAGCCCAATCAGAGATCTCTCTCCCTTCTGTCTCTCTCTCTCTCTCTTCCGGAAGCTGCAGGCCTTGTCCAAGTGGCTTAGGTGAGAGTAACCAGTCCAGGCGCTGCACAGCACCTGTTATTGTCCAGGAGGCAGACCTGGTTCATCTTGCACAGGGACAGCTGAGGAGCGCGAGGCCCGAGTCTCGTGGACGGACCCTGGCCAGTAATGTTGGACTGGACAAGATGCCGACGCCTGGACTCAGGATGGCTCTGGGTCATGGCAGGGGGTGGCTTTGCCTTCCTCTGTTTCTGGCTGGGAGGGCACATATCCAAGGGTGAGAGAGGCACATCCACTTCCTCCCATGCCAGGGAGAGACAGCACTGCCTTTTGGATGAGACTGCCGGCAGGAAGCCTTGAGCAAGGATCCCATCCTTGGAACAGTGGGAGAAAGGGCTCCACAGGCGGTCACCAGCAAGGGTGGCCCTTCTAGATGGGAGAGTCCCCCACTCCCTGGCCTTCCTGCTGTCACAGGAGACGCTGTGGTCACGAGTTTTTGTTGTTAGGAAGACTTAGAGTGTCCTACCGAAGTACACTCAGGGCGCAGCTTCTCTGGGCACTGTCCCCGTTGAGGTTCAGCCAGTCACTGCCTGCTCAGAGGGTTGAACTCTTTCAGGACTAGCTGGGCACGCAGGGAAGGACCCCAGGCCGCCTGCCTCATGGTGGTCGTTACGACATGACTTCAGAGCTCACGTGGAGTTCTTGGTTATCAATTCCCCGATGGATTTTTCTTCTACTTTTCTCTTCCCAGGAACTGGCACCACCATAAAGCTGGGCATGATTTTTTAATTTTATCTTATGTTTTTTAGATTTATTTACTTATTATTAGAAAGTCAGATTTACAGAGTGAAAGAGAGACAGAGACAAAGATCTTCCATCCAATGGTTCCACTCCTCAAGTAGCTGCAATGGCCGGAGCTGAACTGATCCGAAGCCAGGAGCCAGGAAATTCTCCTGGGTCTCCTACATGGGTTCAGGGTCCCAAGGTTTTGGGCCATCTTCTGGTGCTATCCCAGGCCACAGGTAGGGAGCTGGGAGGGAAGTGGAGCCGCCAGGATTAGAGCCGGTGCTTATATAGGATCTTGGAGCGTGCAAGGTGAGGACTTTAGCCACTAGGTTACTGCTCCAGGCACAATATCTCACTTTTTATTGTTATTATTTTCCTTGATAGCTTTGTAGTTAGAATTTCTCTCTCTTCTTCCCCCTTCCCTTCCTCCCTTCTTATTTTGCCCCTTGCACTGTTTTTCTCCATATGATCACAGTAGTATAGTCCTTTAGTGCAAGTTATAAGTTTACACTATACTATTGAAGTGCATTATGTATTTCTTCTTTTATTAAAGCTTAATTTTCTTTTTAATATTGTTTACATAGTTGAGAGTGATGCATACCCATGGTGGGAAAGGTCAGGTTATGGGGGACGGAGGAAGGTGGGTAAGATAAGTGTTTCAGATCCTGTGTTTTCTCCCCTTGCTCCTGTGTCTGCAGAGGGATGGGGAGGGAGGCCCGTCCCTTGCTTGTCAAGCAGCATCCATGCTTGGGAACAGATAGGATCATTTGGTGTCACCTTAGAGCCACCCCATGTGGAGAAAATGGTTCTGAGGGTGCTACCTGAGTGGTCTTGGTAGTTCTGAGATGTTAACTTGGTTTAACAAGGGTTGAGAGTCTTTCTAAGGTCTATTGGCTGCCCAAGTGTGGCATCCACAGACCCAGACATTTGCTGTCAAGGCAGGCCAGGAAAGTTGTTGAACCTGTTCTGCTTTCTATCTTTCGATGAGGTGCTCAGTGTCCTGTGTTGGCTTAGATGCGCAGTCACGTCTTTCATGTGCATCTTGGGATGTACTGCACAGGCATCAGCAACCAAGGAGGTCCAGTCCTAATATTGTATTCCAATGCTGGACCACATATCCTTGTGATGTTCTCTGAGCACAGTGTGAACCCAGTGGTCTAGCTGGGGTGTATGTGTGGGAGGGCCTCAAGAAAACTCGTCTGGAGAGCCTTCAGACTTGACTCTTGCATGTGCCAGCTAGTGTGGAGTCAGATCTGGTCTGACATCTGCACCAGCCAATGGACACACTGGCAGAGTCAGCTGCCTGGTCAGTTCTGCCCCCAGTCCCATCTACCATGCGAATGAACCATTGGGTGCTGTGGCGTAGCCCAGCCCAGCCTGCCACTTGCCTGGCTTTCACACACTGGTGGATTCTATGGGTTAATTGGGGTGACCCCTGCCAGGCCTTCCCCCAGCCAGGACTTTTGCATGCACTGGCAGGTGCTGCAGCCTAGCCTGTCCTGTCCTGCATCCTGCCCAGTTCTTGTGTGCACTCATGGGTGTTGTAGCCTAGCTCAGCCTGGCCCGCTCCTAGACCGAGTTCTCATGCTCTCCAGTAGGAGCTGCAGCCTAGCAGAGGAGTCCCTTAAGTTCCCCTCTCAGGCCTGCTCCCAAACTCAGATCGCATGCATGCTGCTGAGTGTTGCGGCCCAGCCTGACATGGCCTGCCCCCAGTCCTTGTGCCCATCAACAGGTGCTGTAGCCCAGATGGACGTGATTTCTGATCTAGCCTTTTCCCTTACCACCCCTTCCCATAAAATCCATGATCTAATCCTATCCTTTGCAGTTCCTACCCATTCTCTCGTCATCATAGTAAACCAAGTTACCTAAACAATGACAGGAGCCTCTTCATGCTGCCCCCGTAACCTCCTTCACACCGGCAGCCTACACCTCACTTGACTACCAGAGTGGACTCTTCCAGCAATTCCAGGGCACCACACTCATGCTCATGTTCTTTGGAGCACTTGTCACCAGTACGTGTTATACTCTCATTTTGTACACGTCTCCCTCCACTGGGTGGTAGCACCATGGGAAAGAAATCCTGCTGTTAAGTTTACTGTTGTAACTTTTTTGCATAGCACAAAGCGAATACATTATTATTATTATTTTGGATGAATAGCTTTAGACCAGAACTGCATCTAGCTGAGTCAGCAATAAGGAACTGTCACACTTAAGTCAAACTCTCAGTTGATAACGGCCTCAGTGGCATACAATTCTGAAAGAAGGGCTGTAATTCTAGAGAAGGTTTATTCCTTTTCAAGATGTATTTATTTGTTATTTGATGTAATTTCTATGTGTATTTTTCTGTTTCAAATGTTCTGTGGCATGTATTTTTATAAATCAGGAAAATGTGGGACACTTCATAAGAAAAAAATTGAAGATGCACTGTACTGATTTTTTTTAAAAGCATTTATTATTTGAGAATCAAAGTTACAGATAGAGCGGGGAGAGACAGCGTAAAGGAGTTCTTCCATGCGCTGATTCATTCCCTAGATGGTTACAACAGCCAGTGCTGGTGGGACCCATCAGAAGCTACATTCAAGTCTTCCACATGCGTGTCATGGGCCCAGACACTCATATGATGCTCCACTGTTCTCCCCAGGCTGTTAGCAGGGATCTGGGTCAGAAGTAGAGCAGCCAGAACTTGAACCAGCCGGCGCCTCTTGGAGTGCTGGTGTTGCATGCGGGCCACAGCACTGGCCCCTCATTTCTGTGTCAGCATCTCTTTGGTGTAGGCACTTGCCTTATGCACTCTAAACATATGTAAGCACAAAAGTTACTAAATGTTCTCAGAAATCCCTGGAAATTTCCCTCCAAGGAATACACACATGTTGCTGTTTCCTGGAATTCACTGCAGCTGACCACGGCTACTATGCTGGTCCCCAAGATCTCTGGCTGGAATTAGACAACAAACCCATTGTTCCAGGACTTCTCCCTGGAGGCACATGGAAGGATTTGTGTTGTTTTGTTATTACAACGCCAGACCTAACCATGATCCTTTTTTTTTTTTTTTGTCTATGTTGCATCCAAAGTTGTCTTTGCTGGACTAGATTTTCTGTGGAGAGATTCTTTTTTTCCCCCAGCGCCCAGCTTGGGAGGCGCTGGAGTTGCAGAGGGCACGGGCAGTGGGTATAATGCTGAATTTTCTTGGTGTTTAGGCCACACAGGTGGATGAATGAAAAAGAAAATGATTAGGGCAAGCGTGTTGTTTCATGTGATATAAGTCGTCTGCCCTGGGTATATGTGTGTGTGTGTGTGTGTGGTGAGACCCCGGGAAGGTAGTCCCTGGGTGTGGTTTACAGTCAAGTTGTGAATTGAAAACAGTATTGAATCTGATCAACTCTAACATGTCTGGAGCTCTGAAAGCCCGTGATCTCTGAATAACCGGTAATTGATGTGAAAATTGATATGAATTCCATAGATTACTCATACTGCGCTTCAGTTAGAGAAGTATCACTTGTTATCTTTGGCCTGTCTTCCTCTGCACCGGATCTCAGATCGCTGGGCAACCCGAGTGACGTTGAATATACTTTGCCTTATTATTCAGGAAAGGCCATGTCATGTTATACTAACAAGCAAAGCCCATATTTCTGGCAAAACTTCACTGCTGGACATGTCTGGGAGGGTACTTCTAGAAGGGGTTAGCTTGTAAATTAGCGATGGAGTAAAGGCGGTTATTACCAATGTCAGTGACAAAGTCGGGTGGTCCTTACCAATCACCCAGTCTGTCAGAGCCCCAGAGAAGAGGAACAGCAAGGCAGAGGAAAGGCGGCATGTCCATTTTCTTCTGCCCATGATGTGGACGCCCTCGGCTCTCATGTAGCCGCACAGGGACTGAATCCCACTGCCAGTTTCCTGCTTCCACAGCTGGCACATCACACAGAGTGGAGCTAGCTGGTTTTCCTAGGTGAGTGGGCTAGTTTTCCCACACATCACCACAGACACATAAGACAGAGATCTTCAAAAACTTCATAGAAAAACGCGTTAAAGAAAAGATCAATGTCTGGACTGGCACCATGGCATAGTAGGATGAGGTTCTGCCTGTGATGCCAGCATTCCCTATGGGCACTGGTTCATATCCTGGCTGTTCCATTTCCCATTTAGCTCTCCGCTTTGTGGCTCAAGTCTGGGATCCTCGCACCCACGTGGGAAGAAGCTCCTGGCTCCTGGCTTCACATTGGCTCAGCTCTGGCTGTTGTGGCCACTCGGGGGAACGAACCAAGTGGATGGAATATTTTGTTTTCTGTCTCTTCTTTCTGTAAATCTGCCTTTCAAATAAAAATTAAAAAAAAAAGAGAGAAAATCAAAGTGTAGATTTCTAGACTGTGTATTTGTTAAAAAGTAGTATGAAGAAAAATTGTGTGTGATCTAATACTGCCTGACTCTGAAAGCAAAATGGAGAGAAAATTAGATTTAATGTTCATGCTTATATTAAAAAGTAAAACTAACCTACCCACAAAAAAAATAAACCAATTTTCCCTAGAGTAAAGAAAAAGTAGTGTAGAAAAGTAAGTTCCTACTAGGTTGTTAATATGCTTTGTTTCATAATTTTACAGAATTATGAAACAAAGTTAAAATTAAAAATTGGAAGCAAAATGAAAGATTAAATGTAATTCTGAATCGAGTAGGTGGCATAGCCACCTGAAAGGGGAATGTCAAGTGCCTTAAAAACTCAGCATATTCATTACTTGTCACTTGCAGACTATACCCTTAGGGTGAAACAAAATTGTAAACTATTTTCTGTAATGGCACAATTGGAGGCAGTGTTAATATTGTTCTGAGAGTATTTTTTGTGCCAAAGCAGATGAATAAGTATTTTACATTCACCAAAAAAGAAAAAAAACCAAGATTTTTGTTTGGGCAGAACGAGATACAAAGAACAAAGATGTTAACTTAAATATGTCAAATTCTTAATCTGAATGCGAAGTACCACTAGGAACTCAAAATATGTTTTATCTTTAAAAAAAAAAAGGGGGGAGAGAGCACGGTACTGTAGCCTAGTGGCTAAAATCCTTGTCTGTACCAGGATCCGATATGGGCGCCAGTTCATATCTCGCCTGCTCCACTTCCCACCCAGCTCCCTGCTTGTGGCCTGGGAAAGCAGTGAAGGACGGCCCAAAGCCTTGGCACCCTACACCCACACTGGAGACCGAGAAGAAGCTCCTGGCTCCTGGCTTCGGATTGGCTCAGCTCTGGCTGTTGAGGTCACCTGGGGAGTAAATCAGCGGACCGAAGATATTCCTCTCTGTCTCTCCTCCTCTCTGTAAATCTGACTTTCCAATACAAACAAATAAATCTTTAAAAAAAAAAATAGAGGAAGAGAAAAATGAAGGTACTTCTCAGATCTGACCACTGAGAAAGCTTTGAAATAAGAATGAAGTAGTGAAGAGAGCCCAGATTGGACCGCTACCGCTTCCCAGCAAGAACCACCAAGACTCCTTGGAAACGGCCGATTCCGGAGCAGGGATGGAAAACATGCCGCCTGAGGCTGGACCATTTGTGTCCCCTAGAAATACGAAAGGGCTTTTAGGGTGTACTGGAGTCTCTCAAAAGGGCTCACCAACAGTTTCTGGGGTTTCGGAGGAAGCTCCTGGCTCCTGAGTTTGGATCGGCTCAGTTCCAGCCCTTGCGCCAATTTGGGGCGTGGACCAGTGAATCGAAGATCTTTCTGTCTGCCTGTAAGTCTGCCTTTCCAGTAAAAACAGATGAATCTTTAACAAATGATTTATTTTCTGTTTAGGTGGAAGGCAGACACATAACCACACACAGATCCAGGGAGGGGGACATTGAACTTCCATTGTCTGCTTTACTCCCCCCACAATAACCAGGAGCAGGCCTTCTCTCTCTCTTCTGAGACTTGCATTACTCGTATATGTTGCTTTGTTGGTACACCTTAAAGGAATTCCCTTTTTCTCTTACAAAAGCTTTTTTTTTTTTTTACACTTTTATTAGAAAGACAGATTTAGAGAGAGAGGGGTAAAGATCTTCCATCTGCTGGTTCACTCCCTGAAAGGCTTCAACGGCTAGAATTGAGCAGATTAGAAACCAGGAGCCAGGTCTCCCACATGGGTGCAGCGTTCCAAGGCTTGGTGCCATCCTCTTCTACCTTCCCAGGTCATCAGTAGGGAGCTAGGTAGGAAGTGGAGCAGCCGAACTATGAACTGGCACTGATACGGGGTTCTTGAGCTTGCAAGATGAGCGTTTAAGCCAACTGAGCCATCACGCTGGGGCCCCATGTATATTCTTCATAATTCAAATTTTCCATGAACTGTGATGACCCTTTGTGCCATACAAGCATACATATTGGTGTTGGTGGGGAGGGAGACTGAGAGACAGTTGCTATTCTGGTTCTGCCATTTACTGGCTATGTCACTTTAAGCAGGTTACGTATTTCTAAATCTCAGTTTTCAATGTTTAAAAGTGAGGATTTATTTTGCAGTTGCCTAGAAGAGTACCCAGTGGCAAGAATGTGAGTGCAAGTGGTTTATTTGGAAGTTAAAGCTTGCCTGGGACTTTATCAGAAGGGAACCGGGAAGTGCCAGAAAGACTCTTCAGCAAGTTCCCACCGTGGGCTACCTCCGTATCAGCCTTTCTTTCCTCGGGGTTTAGGGCAACTGGAGTGTTTGTATATCAATTCCCTTTAGTCTTTGGGTTGAAGACCCCGGGGGCCTGAGCCTCCGGGCAGGTGGGAGGGACCCTCAGGTAAAAAGATGTTCCCGCTGGTGTTGCCCTACCAATAGTAACAGCAGAAAGGATACGGTCAGGGCACTGGCCTTGGCTGGGTCTTTAAGCCAACCCAGGCTCCCACTCCCCGACATCCACCCGACTTCCAGAACTCAGGGTATGACAGCAATCCTGTCCGAGAATGGCCACAAACCTTCACCACTAAGTTCTTGGGAATCTTAAATGTATAGCAGCTTGATAATTCACCGAACATCTTCGAAGTTGTTTTGTTTTTTTTTTTTCCCTTTCTTTATACAGAAGCATGAAGTAATTCATCGTGAGGGCAGACGTTGGTGTGCAGGGATGGGAAAGGGGGGGGGGGAGTGCTGTGGATTGAGGCGCGCCAAGGAGGAGAGCAAACACCTGGCCTGATGCGCAGGCGTTGGTCAGCCAGGGGGCAAAGCCAGACGTCTCATAATAAAGTCAACCTGGGTGGCCAAGATTCGGATGCTGCCACAGGCTGTCACTGCCAGCTTCCAGGATTCTTCCCCCTCCGCTCGTAAGGATGCAAGCGAGGCTGAGGGGGTCGCCCCGCCGGCAGCGCGCCCACCTGCGTGCCGGCTACTAAGGCCAAGGCTGGGGTCGCAATCAGTGGTGATGCCAGCGCCTGCCCGGTGGGTGGGCACCTAATCCCAGCCGGTCGCCTCCTTCAGCTCCCAAGTCGTTGAGGTGAAAGAAAAACAACTCAGAAATCGGCCTGGAACTTAGCAACTCCCGGAACCGCCCTCCCGCGGGCGCGCTGTTGCCAGGGAAACCCGGGCACCGCCCAGCTCCACGACGGACCAATGGCAGCGCGGGGTGGACACGGGCTCGGGCCCCGGACGGCTCGCGGTGGGCTCCTCCCTCGGTCTGGATTGACCAATCGCAGCGCGGCCCGGCGCAGGGGCCGCCCCCGGGTCGCGGCGGGGAGGCGGGGAGACAGCCGCAAGCTCCGCCCCGCTCCCCTCTGACCCCGTGTCTTGTCTCTCCGTCTTCCTGTTCCAAACCGCGTGGACGCGCCGGGGCCGCGGGGGCCTCGGGACGCCTCGCGGGCCTCCCACTGCCGCTGTCGCCGCTGCCACCAGGGATCGCGACCCCTTCCTCCTTCCCCTTGCCCTTACTCTCCCGCGCCGGCCTCAAGTCGCTCGTCCCCGGGTGGTGTCTCCGGGAAGGGTGAGCACATGGCGACTCAGACGCACTCCCTCAGCTATGCGGGGTGCAACTTCTTGCGCCAGCGTCTGGTCCTGTCCACCCTGAGCGGGCGCCCCGTGAAAATCAGAAAGATCCGGGCCAGAGATGACAACCCGGGCCTCCGAGGTAAGTTGGAGGGATGGTGATGAGGGGTGGTGTATGGCAGACGGAGGGGGTGATGCCCCGAGGGCCGGCGCCGGGCGCCCGGGCGCGGGGAGGGGATTCGGGTGGCAGGGTCCTGAGGAGGGGTCTGGCCGCTCTGTCGCCGCCTCCACCCGGGGGTCCTGAGCGCCGATGGGAGGCGGGGTCACCCCGGAGGCGGGGTGTGTGTGTGTGTAGGGGGTGCGCTCTGGGCGCGCTGCTTGTGAACAGCTACAAGTTTTTCCAGCATGTCCTATTGCCGCAGGTGCCAGGCGTTGCACCCCTCTCTTCCTCCCGAGCCTCGCTTTCCAAGAGGAAGGACCAACGTGGGGGGCGATTGCGCGCCCACGGGGAGACTTTTGGGGAGGGGGAGAAAAGTTCCCCTCAGGTGGGGGTTCCCGGCACGGTTCTGAGATGCGGTCTGTCCGTCTGTCGCCATGATTTCTTGGAGGCCCTTGCACCTTCTCATTTGGTGTGGATTAAGTTTTTTTTTTACGAAGTAATTTCTGTGATTTGAGTTGTGGCCATGATTGACTTGTGCAGGACGGTCACCGTGGGCCTAAGGTGGCTCTGGCTTTGGAAATATGTTGATGACAAGTGATAACATACTTCAGGCGTTCCACGTCACTTCTTTTTAATTTATTTGTTTTTGGTCCCATAGAAGTAGACAGGTTACATGGTAGGTCCCATGAAAACCCACGTTTAAATGGTGCTGGGTTTTCACCTGTTACCCTGACACCAGCCATGTGTTTATGTTGAATTGGGAGACTCAGAGGAGAAAGGAAAAAAAAAAAAAACAAAAAAACAAAAAAACTTTTCTGCAAGTTGAGGGAGAGGGACTGTAGTTAGTATGGGAAGTTGCTAAGGTCCTTTTGATGGGTTTACTTTTGAAAAAGAATATTTGTTTATTTAAAGGCAGAGTTAAAGAGGCAGAAAGAGAGAGCTTGAGCCGTCTACTGGTTCGCTCGTCACATGGCCCTGTCTTCTGGATCTGGGTCTGTTGGAAGCTAGGAGTCGGGAGAAGCTTGTCTCTGGTCTTCTGGGTGGGTGCAGGGGCCCCAAGCTCTCAAGCCTTCCGAGGCACGCGGGCAGGGAGCAGGTGGGACATGCCATGTGGCAGATACTGTCACCACTATGTTGATTTCATTTGCACTGGCCCCTGTGTAAGGTGGCCGGTCCGTTCCATCATCTGTCGGCATGCCTGCTCTGAACTTGCGTCTGCTTCTCTTGAACTTGTTGCACACGTTGGTAGTCGGCAGTGTGATAACACCAAGCCGTCGACGACAGATTTTAGAGGGTGACACTCAGAAGGTCTTACAGGTGCACGGATAGGAAAAGCTGGCTTCCTTGGCTGCCCATCGTGTCACCTCCAAACGCTGAGGGAATGAAGGGATGGCCACTGCCTGCTGCCTGCTGGGGCCCTGCCTCTCAACATCTGTTGCTCTGATCTGGAGCCCAGCCCTTGGGCGATGCGCTTGCATGGTGGTTCTGGTCTGTGGAGTCCCTCCACTTGCCCCTTCTTGAAGCCCCAGGGGCGCCCGGGGAGTTTGTCACTAGAGAGCTATGGTAAGAGGACGAGTGCCTACTTTTCTGTGAACACGGGTCATCATGTTTTTGTTTTTTTTTTTTTTAAATTTAATTTTCTTTTCTTTTTAAAAGAAAGAGACGCCCTGGAGCTAGGCTTGCTGTCGGTAATAGAAACTGTAAGATCCACTTCAGATCAGGATGTCCGAATGCCGCTCCAGTGCCCCCGACTCCTGGTTGGCAAACATTTGTCATTGCCACCTAGATAAGAGTTTTATCCAAGAACAGGACTGGACCGTCACGCGCTTTCCTGAAGAGGGGGTTGGATCTGGTACCCAGGCAGGGTGGGCTGGGGAGGAGTGCTGGTTGGCAGATGTGTGGGATTGTGTGAGAAGCCCTAGGAGTGTTTTAACCTTACCTCTTTAGAATACTTTGTGAGGGTGGAAAGGCCTCAGTTCATGTCTCCTTGTGTGGGCCTGAGGGCCTCAGCAATTGTATAGATGTTCGCCTGCTGGTTCCTTAGGGAACGGAGATAGGTGTGTGTTTGGGCATTGGTAGCTGTTTGAGAGGGCTTCCTAAATGCAAAGAAAATTCACGTCGCCCGAATTCCATCTGCACCGATTTTTGAAGCCCCTGTGGCCTATGTGAATATATATTTCTATATATAAAATGTTGACGCATACACGCGCGGTCTCTGTGACCCCTGATGTGTAATTAGCATTTACTCTCAAGCAGGTGCCTGGCTGCTCAGTGGCAGATGTGGCCAGCAGGCTGTGGTATCTATCCCTTATCGACTGCTTCCTGACTCGGGTGTTGAGAGTTGTAAAAACTGAGTACAGCCAATAAAATCTTGAGCTCAAATGCGAGGGCTACCTTCCTGAAAGATGCCTGCTTAGAGCTCGCTCCTAAAGTGGTAGTAGGGGAGGCACTCTGCCTCAGGAACTGCATTCTCAAAAGATACAGGGAGCCGCTGTGTATGCATGCTTCGTGGGCCGTGTGACTGAGCAGCTGGTGGGCCCTGGCCTGCCTTATAACCATGAAGGGCTGAGCTGGGCAAGGGGTTGGGGCAGGAGACCTGCCCAAGAGCCGCCAAGAAGACTTTCAAGGTCTTAGAGAGAGAAGGAGAAACAGAAAGATCTTCCATCCACTGATTCACTCCCCAAATGGCTGCAGTGGCCCCAGCTGAGCCAACGCAGTCAGGAGCCAGGAGCTTCTTGCGGGTCTCCCACGTGGACGCAGGATTCTAAGGCTTTGGGTCATCTTCCACTGCCTTCTCAGGCCACAAGCAGGGAGCTGAGTGGGAAGTGGAGCAGCTGGGGCATAAATTGGTGCCCTTATGGGATGCTGGTACCTGCAGGTAGTGGATTAGCTAGATGAGCCATTGCCTGCAGGGTGTGCCCCCTCCCCCCCCCCCGTTTTCTTTTTCTAAAAGATTTATTTATTTATTTGCTTCAAGAGCAGAGTAACAGGATGGGAGGGAGTTCATCTGCCCACTGGCTGACGCTCCCCAAATGACCACAGCAAGCAGTGCTGAGCCATACAGAACGTGGAGCTACAGACCTCAGCCCGTCCTTCCCCGTGGATGGTCGGGGCCCAGGTGTTGGGACCATCTTCACCTGCTTTCCCAGGCATGGTAGAAGGGTGCTGGGTCTGAAGTTAGAGCACACGGGACTCAGACCGTTGCTTCGAGAGGGGATGCTGGTGTCACAACGGCAGCTCGAACCCGTTGTACCCCGGTGCCCGTCCCAAGAGGCAGAACGCTTGCCTGGTCACGGTCATAGTAGCTTGGCTGGCTCAGAGTTAGGCCTATGGTTATTAGACCTGATTTCCCCTTTTGCTGCTGCTTACTCTTGGGCTTTGGGAAAACTCTTTAACATTTCTGAGCCTCACTTTATTTATTTTTTTCAACTGTAACGTAGGACCCCAACTACCTGCCTGCTAAGGGTTATTCCGAGGACTCTGTGGAGTTCTTGAACTGCAATACGAAGAATAAATGTTGCTGGTTTTATTATCGTGTGGGTATAGTTCTGCTTTCTGGCAGCCCAAATCTCTTCCTGCTTCTTCGTGGACATGTTTCAGGTACTTACAGAGAATTCTGCTGCCTTTTCGTGTTTTCTTTTTGGCCTGAAGTTTTTCTTTGAGGTGATGCTATCATATGCAGATGTGTTTCATAGGTGTGTTTAATGTGGTTCTCATCCAGGGGTAGTTTTGCCCTCCAGGGGACGGTGGCAATGTTTGGAGATGGCTTTAGTTGTCAGAACAGTGTAGGGGCGGGGTTGGGCCTGGCATCTGGGGGGTGGGGTCTAAGCAAGCTCCTGACTTTATGCCAAGAACCCCTGCCATAAAGTGTTACTGCCTTCAAAATGTAACCAGCGCTGATGTTGAAAACATGGTTGACTTGACTTTAATCATACAGCCTTTCCTCCCCTCCCTCAGTCCCTGATGATTTGAAACAGCAGCATGTATTTCTTGAGAAAACAGTACAGAGATTTCGAAGTGGAGGCCTAGGCCAGGTTCTCTGACTCCAGGCAAATCCGGCCCATAAAATGACCCTTTCCCTAAGCAGCGGGGTTGTAGAGAATAAAGGATTTTAACTTTAGCAAAAGACTAGCTGGAAATGGTTTTAATAATTAGGCAGTCACAAACTGTAATTGATGTTTCACTCTTAAGGAGCATGAACAATTCCATTGTCTTTTTCTTCCTCGCAGTGAAAAGGAATTACATTGTAAAAGCTGAGATGCTGCAGCTGGGGAACTTGAGCCTGGCTGAGTGACCGCCCGGTTCAGGCCTTTCTGCAGGTTTGGGTGTTCCCAAGTGTCGGTGTTTCTGGATTGCATGAGGGTTGGGACTTGCAGGGTCTGGTGTTTGAATAGCTTCTGAGCCCGTGAAGGAGGACCGGCAGCATTGATGGACTTTGGGAAGTGTGCTGCTTTAGTGGCGAGAGCAGACAGGTTTGCCGTCACACAGGGTCACACGCGACTCAGCCTGAGCTCTTGCTCCCTGGGCGGTCAGAGTTCTGGTCCCACAGCGGGGTTATTCATGGCCTCAGCAAGTTCAGATTCTAAACAGGGAGGGCTAGATGGAGTCTTGATCAAAACATATGCCTGCAGTGTGCGGAGGAAGCCCTCCAGGTAGAGGTCCTTTGAAGAATCGCTGCATGCTTTGGTAAGCAGGTGCATTGTCTGGGAAGGTAAATCTGGCTCTTGGCAAATTGGATCTTAAGGAGGTTGTACCTCCTTAGAGCTGTTGATTGACATGACGGGAGAGGTTTTCCACCTGTGCATCTGCTAGCTCACTCCCCAAGTACCTATACCAGCTTGAAGCTGGGAGCTGGGCATTCAGTCGGGGCTCCCGGCAGGGTGTCAGGGACCCACGTCCCTGGGCTGTCACCTGCGGGCTGTCACCCGCTGCTTCTCTCAGAGCACCTTACCAGGAGGCCGGATCGGAAGTGGAGCTGGAACCCTGGGCACTTTGGCTTGGCTGCCCCAAAACAAAACTTACCTTTCTAAGACAAGTGCCAAGAATCCTGTGTCCTGCTCTGAGCACTACCGTTGCTTGAAAGCTGTGAAATATTGTTCCAGGTAGAATTACCCGCCGTGTCTATTTTTAAACTGATTTTTCGTTTTGAGATCACCGTAGGCTCACGTAACACAGAGCTCTCATCTATGCTCTGTCAAGTTTCCTGCAGTGGGAACCCCTGCGAGAAACTACAGCAAGTGTGTCAGGATTCTCCCCGCTCCCCTTTGCCAGTCCTGCCTGCTCCCCACTTTCCCACCTTCTCCTAGTCCCTTTGTAATTTTGTTACTTGAAAAAATATGTAATGGGTTGGTTCCAGGTGTAACCTTTTGGGACTGGCTTTTCACTTAGTGTGCTTGATTCTCTATCCAAGTTGCTTCCCCTCCCCCCCTTAAATCAAGTTCATTCCTTTTTTCTTGCAGAGTAGTATTCCTCTGCCTTCCCATGTACATGTAAGAATAAGCCTGTCTCATCCAAAAGAGAAATACTGCTGAGATTTTTGCAATAATTATATACGCGTATTTTTCTTAAAAGATTTATTTATTTACTTTTATTTGAAAAATAGAGCAACAGAGGTAAAAGGCAGACAGATCTTCTATCCATTGGTTCCTTCCCCAAACTGACCGCAATGGCTGAAGTTGGGCCAGTTGGAAGCTGCAAGTCAGGAGCCAGGAGCTTCTTTCAGGTCTCTGCTGTGGCTGCAGGGGCCCAAGGACCTGGACCAACCTCTGTTAACTTTCCCAGGCTACTGGCAGGGGACGGGATTGGAAGTAGAGCAGCTAGGACTTGAAACTGCCATCTATACAGGATGCTGGCACAGCAGGCAGAGGCTTAGCCGGCTATACCACAGTTCCAGCCCAGCAAGAATGATGTTAGACCACTGTGTCAGCTTGCCATTATTATGTTGAGTCTTCCGGTTTATGAATATGTTTTTTTCTTTATTTACTTAAATATTTTAGAATTTTCTTTCGCAGTGTTACGCAGTTTTGCAGCATATGAGCCAGTATGTTATGTTAAATTTACACTCAATCATGTGTGACTTTTGAAGCAGTTGAAATGATGTATGATTTAGAGTTTGGATCGTCTGGAGTTCGTGTAGAAGTCCCTTGATTTACTTTATTTTTGGTGAATTTTTCTCGTATCCTGCATCCTTGCTGAATTTGCCTGTTTATCTTAGAAGGTTTTTTTCCTTTGGGGGAGTGGATTTTCTACCAGCAGGCTGGTTACCATCTGCAGTCAGAGTGCTGACAGCATCCCGTCTTGCCTTGTGTTGGGGAAAAATATCCAGAATTTCACCAACCAAGTGTGTGTGTGTGTTTTTTTTTTTTTAATTGTTTTCATTGTGTTTGAAAGAGAGGCAAATAAAAATTTTCCATTCTTACTGGTTCACTCCCCAGGTGCCTTAACAGCTGGGGCTGAACCAGACTAAAATCTGAACCCCAGAGCTCAGCCTGTGTCTCCTACTTGTGTGATAGGAACCAAAGCATTTGAGCTGCTGCCTGCTGTCCCATGCGCGCATCAGCAGGATGCTGAGACTGGAAGCGGAGCCAGGAGTTGACTGCAGGACCTCACTCCAGTGTGGAGTATGTGACATCTTTTTTTTTTTAAGATTTATTTTATTTTTATTGGAAAGTCACATATACAGAGAGGAGGAGAGACAGAGAGACAGAAAGGAAGATCTTCCATCCAATGATTCACTCCCCAAGTAAGCACAACAGCCTGTGGTATGCTGATTTGAAGCTAGGAGTCAGGAACTTCTTCCAGGTCTCCCACACAGGTGCAGGGTCCCAAGGCTTTGGGTCGTCCTCGACTGCCTTCCCAGGCCACAAGCAGGGAGCTAGATGGGAAGAGGAGCTGCAAGGATTAGAACCGGCGCCCATATGGGATCCCGGGCGTGTTCAAGGCGAGGACTTTAGCTGCTAGGCCACGCTACCGGGCCCGGAATGTGTGCCATCCTAACCACCCTGGGGGATTACCCTCTGTAGGGCCAGCATCGCATAGGGGCACCAGTTTGAGTCCAGGCTGCTCCACTTCTGGTCCAGCTCCCTGTTAATACACCTGGGAAAGCAGCAGAAGATGGCAGAAGTGTCTGGGCTCTACACCCATGTGGAAGATCCAGAAAGAGCTCCTGGCTCCTGGCTTCTGTCTGGCCCACCCCTAGATCTTGCAGCCATTGTGGGAGTAACCAGTGAATGAGAGCTCAACTAAAGTGAATGAATCTTAAAAAAAAAAAAAATAAGCAGTTACCCCTGGTTACCTCTGTATATTTCCTTGTAGATAATTTTTATCAAGTTGAGACTTTTTTTTTGACTATTTTTGTAAAACATTCATTCTTTCATTGCTTTTTTTAAAAAAAGCTTTCATTCATGAATGTTGTATTTTATAATTTTTAAAATGCTATTTGATGGTTTGTTTTTAACTTAACGGGGTGTTTTGTAGATTTTCAGATGTTGAATTGAGTCTTGCATTCTTGGAATATACTTCAGTTGGTCTTTTTTTCAGATTTAGTTATTTATTTGAAAGGTAGAATTATAGAGGCAGAGATAATGTTTTCCTTTTTTTTTTTTTAAGGTTTATTTTTATTGGGAAGGCAGATTTATAGTGAGAAGACTTAAAGTAAGTCTTCAACAGCCAGTAGCTCGTATCGGTTGTTTTTGACTTGTTTCATGGAGTTCCTTTGACTTGTGGCCCAGTGCACTTTGTTCAGGTTGCAGAATCTCCTCCAACAGGAGTTCTGGGACAGGCTTAAGTAACAGAGCAGGTGGATTGGAATTGCTTGCTGGATCCGCTCACCCCTTGGGATCGTTCTAGGTGATTGTTGGAGTTTGTGCCGGCCAGCTCTGCTGCGCGCGAGAAAGGAGTGGAGGTCGTGCAGGACGCGCGGGCAGGCCGGCTGCTTCCGGTGCCCTTCCCTGGCTTCCCGGGCACAAGGAAGGCTTTGATGTCAGTGCCTGCCTCTGCCTCTGCCTTCTGCCCTTGTTGTATTTGACGTGCTTTCCGGACGGCAGAGGCACAGACCTTGCACGGGGTTTGGGTTGCTGGGTGGAGATCCGTCTGCTGGTAGAGGTGCCACTCGTGTACGAGTTGTGTCTGATCGTCCCTCTGAGCGTGTGGATCCATCCTTCTTGAACCTCTTTCCACTGCTCATCCCCCCGCCGACTCCGCACCCCTCGAGCCGCGGTCCTGCCTGTTCCCGAGGGAATCCCGGGGGTCGAGCAGGAAGTGTCCCATCCGTGCCCGCAGCCCCTTCAGCCAACGTGCTTGCCCAGCCCAGCTGGGCACCTGGCTGGCAGCCAACCTGTTTTCTTTTTTCCCACAGATTTTGAAGCCAGCTTCATAAGGCTTTTGGACAAAATAACTAATGGTTCTCGAATTGAAATAAACCAGACAGGTAAGTGAAAGCGCCTACACACGCTATCGAAATATTCCTGTTTGCCATTCTTTTCCCTAGTGTAAATGCCAACGTGTGCCCAACACTGCCTGGCAGATTGTGTTCCGTTTGCCTTCATTACGCCAGGGTCTTGGAGTGGTACCTTTCGGAATTACACGAAGAAGCTGACGCTAGAGATTAAAGCTTGTCATTCTTTATCATTTTATAAAAATACTACATTGAGTTTAAATGCCCAATTTCTTGTCTGTGGTGTTGATTGTCCAGAGCTGTGCGTGGGATCACCCAAATGAAGGGGACACGCTCCAGGAAGTTGGAGGGCAGAAAATTTCAGATCAAGCAAGCACTTTTCTTTTTTCTTTTTTTTTTTTTTTAAGATTTATTCTTATTATTTTTTTATTGGAAAGGTGGACATACAGAGAGGAGAGACAGAGAGGAAGATCTTCCGTCCAATGATTCACTCCCCAAGTGAGCGCAACGGCCAATACTATGCCGATCCGAAGCCAGGAGCCTCTTCCGGGTCTCCCACGCGGGTGCAGGGTCCCAAAGCTTTGGGCCGTCCTTGACTGCTTTCCCAGGCCACAGGCAGGGAGCTGGAAGGGAAGCGGGGCTGCGGGGATAGAACCGGCGCCCATATGGGATTCTGGGCGTGCAAGGCGAGGACCTTAACCACTTGCGCCACCATGCCAGGCCCAGCACTTTTCTTTTTAAACCCTAAAAACAGATCATTCCTAACGTTTCTGTGAACCCTTTCCGGGGCTATTTACTTCCATCACCACATCGAATTCTTCTGCCAGGCTCTCTGAGGTCGTTGCGTAAACTGAACTCTGTTTTATGTTCTCACGATAAGTTGTCAGGTGGAGAGACGGAGTGTGAAAATCCCTTCGCCTTTTCCCATTGCCTCCTGCCCCCTGGCAGCCGCCGTGGCCGTGGGTGGTGACAGGGCCGCTCACATAGCTCAGAGCCAGCAGTTGTCTGCCCGCTCGTGCAGGTCGGCCCTAGGGTTTCTGTCGGCTGTGTGCCATACTTAATCATTGGTCAGTTGCTCCCCTACTGTAAGACTGTAGGGGATTTCTCATCTTTTTTTTTTTTTTTCCCCTTTTCTATTGCAAACTGTATCTCCATTGTTGAAGAGACCATGGCAGAACTCCTTTGGCCCAGTTCAGGAACTCTGCCTTTGCATACACATTGCACGAAGGATTCTTGTCCTTTCTTGTGAGTTGGTATTTTACAAGACAAAGAAACCACAGACAGTGGGACCAGCACTGTGACCGAGTAAGCTAAGCTTCTGCGTAGAGTGCCAGCATCCCTTCTGGGTACCACTTCAAGTGCCAGCTGCTCCACTTGGCACCCAGCTCCCTGCTGATGCCTCTGGGAAGGCAGCAGAGCAAGTCCTCGGGCCCCGGCACCCACGTGGGGGACCCACAAGCGGCCTCCTGGCTTCTGCCTTCGGATCGACTGCGGCCACTGAGGCCGTTTGTGGAGTGAGCCAGTGGGCTGGAAGATCTCTCCGTCTCTCCTTTTCTCTGTAAATCTGCCTTTCAAACAAACAAAGGAGATCACTGGAGCCATACTTCACCAAGAGCAGGTTTTAAACAACTGGTGAAAATGCCTTTGCCAGCTGCGGGTCCCTTCCTCTCCCATGGTTTGTTTGATTAGAAATTGCTGCAGGGTTTTTTTTGTTTTTAAGTTTTTTAAAGATTTATTTATTTTTATTGGAAAAGCAGATTTACGGAGACAAGGAGAGACAGAGAGAAAGATCTTCCATCTTCTGGCTCCTCAAGTGGCCGCAACCAGCAGAGCTGGACTGATCCAAAGCCTGGAGCCAGGAACTTCTGGGTCTCCCATGCAGGTGCAGAGTCCGAAGGCCTTGGGCCGTTCTTGACTGCTTTCCCAGGCCACAAGCAGGGAAGCGGAAGGGAAATGGAGCAGCTGGGATAGGAACTGGAGTCCATATGGAATCCTGGCGCATGTAAGGTGAGGACTTTAGCCCCTAGGCTACAGCACCAGGCCTGCCGCAGGTTTTTTTTTTTTTTTTTGAAGACTTATTCATGTGTTTATGTGTCTCTTATTTGAAAGAGTGACACACACACATTCACACACACATAGAAAGAGAGAAAGATCTTCCGTTCACTAGTTCCTTTTCCACGTGGCCAGAACAGGAGCCAGGACCTCCATGCGGGTCCTCCAGGCGGGTGCCATGAGCCCAGATACCTGAGCCATCATTTGCTGTCTCGCAGAACTCAACATCAGCAGGAGACTGGGTTGGGAGGAAGCAGAGCAGCTGGGACTCCAACTGGTGCCCCACTGCGGGGTCGTGGACACCCGAGCGGAGATTTAACGCACTGCACCACAACCCCAGCTCCTTTTCAGCAGCTTCGATTGCTGGTTCAGAGAGCAAACCGTTTCTAAACTTTTTCTTGTCAAGGAGTAAAAGTTATTTACACGACTGTGCCCCCCTCCCATGTCTTCCTTTTGTGTCTCATCAAAGGGGATGAAAGTCAGTTTCACGTTTGATCAATTTGTAGGCATAGGCAGATGGAATCCAAGATCTTAATGGATACATCACTGTGGTTTTTTTTTTAATTTTTATTTTTTGCCTTTCTGCGCCAATGAGTAGTTATAGAACTCAAAACTGTGTAAGAATAACTGACCCAGAGTAATTTCCTTTGACAAGTATTAATTCTCTTTGATCAAAATACGATCAGGACTGTATTGTTTGGGTTTGGCTTTTAATATAATGAAACTTAAATTATTTTATGAAACTCCCTAAAGTGGTTTCCCATTTGAAGTGATGGAAACATGTCTGATTCCTTTAAATTAAATTTGGTGTTGGTCAATTGTGCCAGGAAGACTTTGCAAAAGATTTCGGGCAACAGAATTTCATCAGGTCGTGCCTCCCACGGCGTGTCGTGTAGGGTCTTTAACTTTGTTCATTTCCCAGTTTTTCAACCCATAAGGAAATCTTTGGCAAAGTATTAAGGAAATAAATAAATAAAGATAATGCAGAGCTTTCACTAAAGACATAAAGTAATGTGTATATTTCCATTTGACGGTATGAAAACAGCTACTGTTGATGGCGTTGAATGCCACGGAATCTCACCCATGTTGTTTTCAGCGTCTTTTTTTTTGGTGCAGGCGCTGCATGAGAGCTCGCTCTGCTGGGAGATCCAGAGGCGATTGCCTCCTGGGGAAATGATTAAAGAGCCTGCAATTGGTGCAGTCTCGGTGTCCCCCGAGGAGGGCAGGCCACCTCTCCTCTCTGCCCTGCTGTGACTTTGGCAACTACAGTGGTTTCAGGAGAGGTTTAATTTATTATGGTTTATTAAATTACACTCCACAGTTTATTATTATTCCATGGGGCTTGACAGCCATGAGTCAGCAATTTGCAATGACGTAGGGATTCTTAGGAGTGACATTTTGAATTGCCTTCCATTCCCGTGTCACATTTTCCCCCTTGGGATTCGACTGCCCTGCTGACACTTGATGTCTTCCCTGCTGAGTGTGGCTCTGTTTTTTTCTCCCCCGGTTTAAGGCACAACCTTGTATTACCAGCCCGGCCTCCTGTACGGCGGCTCCCTGGAACATGACTGCAGCGTCCTGCGTGGCATCGGCTACTACCTGGAGAGCCTGCTCTGCCTGGCCCCTTTTATGAAGCACCCGCTGAAAATAGTCCTGCGGGGAGTGACCAATGACCAGGTGGACCCTTCGGTGAGTATGAAGACCAGAAACCTTGGCACGGCTTTGCACATTTTGTCTCTTGTCTCGGCTAGGTTTCTGAGACAGAGAGAGAAAAAAAAAATCCGTCATGAAGTGCGAGTTTGGAGTTACGTCTTTGTAATTTACTTTGCAATTTAGAGGTTAATCCACTTCAGCAGGCAGATGAGTCCAGACTGGCGGGGATAACCATGGTTAGGACAGCGGCCAGCGTTCGTCAAGGTGACTTTCAGCATTGTGTAAGCACCTTCGGAGCAGGTGCTTGCAGTGTCAGGGCGCAGTTGACATGTGTATCCTGATGGAGTATCACTCTGTTGGCTGAAGCATGCGCACGTGGCCATGTGACCACGGAAGCCAGAGGGCCGCAGGCTGGAATTGTAGGCAGGAAATAGTATCCTCTGGGCATGACCACAACACGATCCTCACTTAGACAGGCTTCAGGCCTACACAGGCCGCCTTCCTTCATCTGCGGAGAGCTGGCAGATTTAGACAAACGGGCGCATGTGTGGAGAAGGAACGTGTGTGCCCTGATGGTTGGGGGATGCCAGCAGGCTCCTTGGGAAAGCATGCGCTTCCCCACGTGTGTTTATATGAGGGGCATGGGTTCACATCCAGCTAAAATGTTCCTGGTGATCGCTACCGGGGTCTTCTTGCCCCCCTTAGACATTCTAAAGATTTATTTTTATTATGTTTTTTTTTTTTTTTATTGGAAAGGCGGATATACAGAGAGGAGAGACAGAGAGGAAGATCTTCCGTCCAATGATTCACTCCCCAAGTGAGCGCAACGGCCGATGCTATGCCGATCCAAAGCCAGGAGCCTCTTCCGGGTCTCCCATGCAGGTGCAGGGTCCCAAAGCTTTTGGCCGTCCTTGACTGCTCTCCCGGGCCACAGGCAGGGAGCTGGAAGGGAAGCGGGACTGCTGGGATAGAACTGGCGTCCATATGGGATCCCGGGCGTGCAAGGCGAGGACCTTAACCACTTGCGCCACCGCGCCGGGCTTGCCCCCTTGGACATTCTACAAGGAGGGGAGAGTTCTCTGCTTTGGGCTGCTCTGCTGTCTGGACTGTGTCCTCAAGTTGATGGCCTTGGAATCTTGCCGTGAGCACGGGCTGTGAGCATCCTGCAGCTTTGCAGGTACAGTGTGAACGGCGTGGCTCTCCAAGCAGCGAGCTGCAGCTAGGTTGTGCTGTGAGCCGAGAAGTGGAGACTGGTGGTGCCAGCCAGGGAATAATCATGGCTTTTGTGTTAGACAGCTGGAGTTGCACCCCTCAATTCTTAAAAACACTTCAGTTGCAGAAACTTACTTCTCCTGGGATGCCGAAGAGCAGTGCAAGATGTGCAATTCTTTAGTTGTAAAGATGCAGTGTGTAGTCTTTAGAATTTCCAGCAAAGTTAAGTGATCACCGTTCCCCTTCATCTTCTGGAAGATGCTGGGGAGTGGGCCCTGTGGTCACCAGTGTGAGAGGACACACTACTCTTTTAGATCATCAGGGGGTAAGGTGTCCAGAGATGGGAAAGTAGCCTTCATGTATATAGGACTCTGTATGCCTAACTTCACCCTTTCTGTAGCTGCTGATAATCTTAGAAGCTGTTCTCATTGGCAGTATTAGAAAAGTTTTATACATTAGGACTTTTCAAGATCAGTTGCCGAATTCTCCAAAAGTGGTACCTGACTCTTATGCTTTAAACAAATGTGCCTCCGTATGCTGGGGGATTATCTGCTCCTGCCAGCTGTCTGACTAAAATGATGATGGTTGGTTGGTGCCTGGCTGCGGACCAGATAAAATCAATTTTCACTTAATCCTAAATAAAGAGTAACTTCTTCAGCCCATGTTTTTTTTTTCCCCCATCTTGAGCTTTCTCCTTTCTGTGTGGTTTCCTCGTCAGCTGGTGTCACATCCATTCTCTGCATACAAGGACGAATGACAGGCGAGGGCTCCTGGAGGCTGACGTGATGGCTGCAGCGGGAGGACCGGAAGGCTTAACGCTCCCTCCATCCTATCCTGGTGGAGAGGTGCAAGCCACGTGCCCAGCACGGTGCTGTCTTGGCCTCCTTTACATTGCTATACCAGGGGTCCTTTCCCAAGAGTGGGCATTGGTTTCGTACTGACACAAAAGCTGTGCAACCTGTGACTGTGGCAGCAGTGTGCTTTTATCTATGTCATAACCTAATGACCTAAAGACATCACGTTCTGAGACCCAGAGAGAAGTTGGGCCAAACCTACACGTTCCCATAATGATGGCCTGAATCCGTTCATGGGGGTGCGGATGTCGTGATCCGGTCAGGTCTTAAAGGCCTCATTTCTCAGTAAGTTTACAGCAGCAGTTCAATTTCAATCTCAAGTTTGGAAGTTGAGATTCTAACCAGAATGCTTGTTTGGGGAACCATTTCCTTTTTTTTGTTTTGAGAGAAACAGAGATGAGGAGCAACAGAGAGGAACATCTTCCATTCACTGATTCACTCCTGAAACTGTTGGAATGGCCAGAGCTGAGTCAATGTGAAGCCAGGAGTCAGGAGCCTCTTCTGGGTCTCCTATGTGGTTGCAGGGTCCCAAGGCTTTGGGCTGTCCTCCACTGCTTTTCCAGGCCAGAAACAGGGAGCTGGATGGGAAGTGGAGCAGCCAGGACACAAGCTGCTACCTATTTGGGATCCTTGGCCCCTGCAAGGTGAGGATTTTAGCCACTTGGCTACTATGCTAGGCCCGGAAATGAGTTCTTTAGCTCAATGTAAATTTCAGTTGACCTCACTGTTAAAATCCCGTTCTGACTTCCGTAAGCATTAGTGTGTATGTGTGTGTTTTTTTTGTGTTTTTTTGGTAACATTTGTTTTACTTGGAAGTCAGAGTTGGAGACGGGTGGAAGAGATCTTGCGTTCATTGGTTCACACCCCAGATGACTGCAATAGCCAGAATTGGGCCTGTTGAAAGCTGGGGGCCAGGAGCTTCCTCTGGGTCGCCCACGCGGGTGCAGAGACCCAAGACCTTGGACCATCCTCCACTGCTTTCCCAGACTGTCAGCAGGGAGCTGGAAAGGAGGTGGAGCAGCGGAGACTGGCACTGGCTCCCGAACAGGATGCTGGCACTGCAAGAGGAGGATCAGCCGTATGCACCACTGTTCCAGCCCCACGCTGGTGTTCTTGTCCCTTGGCCGGAGGGACTGAGACTGGATTGAAGGGGATATGAGTGCTTAGGGTGTGAGTAGGAGAGGAGGAGTCAGAGGTATGAATATTCAGCAAGGCCAGGCCTGTCCCCATGTCCTACGGGGAGGAATCAGGAGACAAGCCTATTGTGACGTTACACCTGGGCTCCTGGTTGAGGTTCGGAACAGGTGAGAATGGATTGCCCACCAGGGCACAGGGAAATCTGTTTCCTTGTCTCCCCCATTGTTTTCAGAATTTGGTGTAGCCCGGTGCCCAGCTGCCCTGTGTTCTGGCCTAGCTAGAATTCCCCTCAGTTGGGGCAGTGGCAATATATGGGTATTCATGGCCTGCGTAAGGAGGTTTTCACTTACGACAGAGAGCATACACCACAGCGGCCTTGTAAAGCTGGAGCGGAACTGAAATGTTTTAATGTCTCATGATTTTGTAAGTTGTCAGAAAGTCCCAGTGCAGCACAGAGCTCCTAAGCTTGTAGTGATGCAGGCAAAGGAGAAGCTGCCGCACTGCCGCCCGTGCAGAAATGTGGTGATGCGACTGCGTGTGGTGTAATGAGAGACGGCTGTGTTAGTGGGGTACGGATTTACCTTTTTTTTGTTTGTTTGTTTTAAAAGATTGATTTTACTTATTTGAACGACGGGGGCAGTGGGGCAGAGATCTTCCTCTGGTAGTTCACTTCCTCATTGGCTGTTCTCTCCAGAGCTAGGCCCGCCTGAAGCCATGAGCTTCGTGCGGGTCTCTCATGTGGGTCCAGGGGCTCTGGTGCATTAGCAGGGAGCTGGATCAGAAGTGGAGCAGCCGGGACTCAAGATGCTGCTTGGTAAGGATCCTGGGTTGTAAGCAGCAGCTTAACCCCATTACTTGGTAACACTTGCCTCTTAGGTGTTCGCTATCTATATTTTTGTTAAGGTTTTTCTGCTTGTGTTTTTAATCAAAATAATGATAAAACAGCCTCAGGTCCTTCAGGAGGTGTCAGAAGCCAGTGTGAGGACAACCCCAGGTGGGTCCTTAGCTCTGAGGGTTGCTCGTTGGGTCAGGATGCAGGTGGTGGTAGAAAATAGAAATGTTGCTGATGATCCCAACCATGTGTTGGGCGAGGCTGATGTGTGTGTCTTAGTCTTTAATAAATTCTATAAAGGAACAACAATAACAAAAGTATGTAGTGGACTATACCATATACCCTTCCATGCAGGTCTGTGTAAGTATACTCTGATTTTTGCACAAGCAGAATGGCCTAGTGTATTTCTCAGAACTGATCCTTGTTGCTAAGTGATTCATGACTATATTAAGTTTCCTTTAGATATTTATTTATTTGGAGGCCAGCACAGAGGCTCTACAGGCTAATCCTCAGCCTACAAATGTGGGTGGGTCCTCCTGAAGGACCTCAGCCCATCGCATGTGGGCGCCCGTTTGTGTCCCAGCTGCTCCGCTTCCCACTCAGCTCCCTGCTTGTGAGCTGGGAAGGCAGTGTAGGGTGGCTCAAATACTTGGGCCCCTGCACCCAGGAGGCCTAGAGGCTTCAAATTGGCTCAGCTTCGGCCATTGCAACCAGCGGATGGAAGATCTTTCTGCCTCTGCTTCTCTAAATCTGCCTTTCCGGGCCCGGCGCGGTGGCGCAAGTGGTTAAAGGTCCTCGCCTTGCACGCCCGGGATCCCATGTGGGCACCGGTTCTAATCCCGGCAGCCCAGCTTCCCTTCCAGCTCCCTGCCTGTGGCCTGGGAAAGCAGTCGAGGACAGCCCAAAGCTTTGGGACCCTGCACCCGCGTGGGAGACCTGGAAGAGGCTCCTGGCTTCGGATCGGCATAGTATCGGCCCGTTGCGCTCACTTGGGGAGTGAATCATCGGACGGAAGATCTTCCTCTCTGTCTCTCCTCTCTGTATATCCGCCTTTCCAATAAAAACATAATAAAAATAAATTTAAATAAATAAATAAATAAATAAATCTGCCTTTCCAATAAAAAAATAAAATACATTTTTCCAAAATGCTTTTTTTTTGGAAAGGTAAAGAGAGAAAGGGACAGAGATCTTTCTTGCACCTGTGAGTCTTTCTCCAGATGTCTGCAGCAGCGAGGACTGGGCTATGCCATCCTGGGTGCTTGGCCAACCTTTGCTACCCTCCCAGATGCCTTCCCAGAAAGCTGTGTTAGGGAGTGGAGCAAACAGGACTGGCAGTCATATGGAATCACGGCTTTGCAGGCAGTGACTCGGCTTTCTGTACCACAACGCTAGCCCCAGCTGTATTTTTAGGTCTGTTTAGCTTTGATCTTTACTAAAACTTCTTAAGGTACTGCCCCTGTTGTAGCTGGCGCATTCTGAACATCTTCTACTTCTAGGTGATTTTTGGGTATCAGGATGTTTGGCTGGCCCCTCGGAGCCTGTTTAATGCTGTGTCTTTTGATTTGAATCCGCGGACGTTTGGAGATAAGCTTCCGACAGACGCTCGTTTTAGAGACCAGGACATTCAGAGAGTTGTGATTTTTCTTGCCAGAGATCAGACAGCTAAGTAGGGCTGAGGTGGGACTAGAACTCGTGTTTCCACTTCCTGCCGTGGCTGTGTCTGCCCTCACTGTCTGCTGACTCCTGGGTCGAGAAAGGTCTACCTCTTGCCCTGTAAGATAACTAAGGCAGCATTCACCGACCTGCTAGGTCCGTGCGATGTGGATGTCATCCTGTTAGCTGTGGGGCATCCACAAGGGAGTAAGCGAGCCCTCCCAGCAGCTCTGGGGTAGAGAGCTCACAATAACACTTTGCAAAGTCTTGCTAAGCTGTGGATATTGTGGTATTTGCAGTTTGGTGTTGTTATTGCTTAAGGTGAGCATTCTCCAACACTCTACCCACATGAAAGAACCACTAGCATTGGGATTCCTTTGGCATGCAGTGCCACCAGTTCTAACACTTAAAAAAAAATCCATATTGGCACAAACTATATATGTAGTTGTAAATAAGAGTGTTTCTGCTCTCGTGTTTGTACCTGTGTGCGTGGGCTTGTGTTTGGTTTCTCTGTCCCTGCTGTCTGCATGGTGGTAAGTGCTCCACGCAATGATTGCTAGGTTGCAGAAGGTCACATTTACTGTGCTGTAAGTGAGCATGGCCAAGCTGGGCAAAGTGGCTTGTAAGACCCCCGTGTGTGAGCCAGCAGCCCTGTTCCACCTGACTGGCATCTACAGGTTGCTGGGCCTCGCCTACTCTGGGCCCCGCCTGCTCTGGGCCCCTTCCTCCTATCTGTCATAGGCTAATTAAACCTTTTCTTCTCCTTCAAATAACATCTTAGGTTGATGTCCTTAAGGCAACAGCACTTCCCCTGTTGAAGCAGTTTGGAATTGATGGTGAATCATTTGAGCTAAAGGTAAGACTGCATGAACTGCAGCCTGCTGGAAGAGCTATGTGTGTGTGTGTATGTGTGTGTGTTCTAATCAGAACACCGACAGGACTCAAGAAGCAACCCCGCAGACTTGGAATCAAAAAAGGGGCCCTTTAGTGGTGACAGAATTAGCCAGCACATTGTAGGAGGGACTGTTGGAGGCAGTTTGCATAAATACTGGTGTCAACTCCTTTAATCCTCCTACCAGCTCTGTCCACGCGGCTAAGTAAATAGAGCAGGAGCATTCTGGCCTGCAGCATCTCTGACCCAAAGAGCCTTGGAGAGATTTTGGTATTTCTGACATCAAGAAGTAATTCAGACATCTGTTCCATTTTACTGTCAAAAGCAATCATTAGCAGTCCATTGCCTTAACACTGAATATATTAAACCACTTAGCATCTCTGCCTTGTGAATTAACGTTGTTAAACAGGAGGAAATAACTGCATTTTGTTGATCCAGGAGGGAAAAAAGAACTGGCTGATGGTTAAGAAATGGCCAGTTCCTCATTCATTCCTCAGGATGAAGAGACGGGTCCTAGTGGGTTAAATGGGAAGGAACCTGCCCGTGGTGACACTGATGGGAGTGGATGCCCCTTGGCAGTTCACTTGGTGTTTGACTGTAGGTCCAAGGGCACTGTTCTTCCCAATGCACCCTGGACTGGCTGCCCTTTTAGAGCCAGCAGGAGGTGCCGCTGGTCTAGAGGGGTTGGCAGGCTGAGGATGAAGGGACATCTCTGCTGTTGGCATAAATGGCCCGGGGTTGGACATCTGGGTGATCCAAGGCTTTGCTGCAACCTGGTCTCACTTTGTTCACCCTCTGTGCAGATCCTGCGGCGGGGCATGCCTCCTGGAGGAGGAGGAGAGGTGCTTTTCTCGTGTCCCGTGAAGAAGGTGCTGAAGCCCGTTCAGCTCACAGACCCGGGGAAAATCAAGCGTATCCGAGGGATGGCGTATCCTTTGGTTTGGTGTACCTTTGCTAGTTTTCCTTGCCTCTGAGGTAGGAATGAGGCCAGAGGCTTCACTTCTTCCCACACGCCCTTGCATTTTACACAGCCATCTCGGGAAGGTCTTCGTTGTGAGACATGATGTTTTATCATCTGCTTCACCATGACTAGAGGGGCTGTCTTACTGGGTTTTTTTGTGAGTGATTTTTGGGGACAGGGTATACTATATATCCCTAAAAAAAAGTAGCTCCTAGCATGGATCCCCTTCCTAGGGCTTTGGTTTTGAGGCTGGGATTGTGCTGCAGCCCCTTCCTGAGAAGAGCTCATCACCCAGTAAACAAGTGTGCAAGCACGTACATCTTCCGTGTTGAAGTTTTTCTTGAATGTGAAATGCGGAGACACAGGAAGGAGAGATCTTCCTTCCGCTCCGTTGACTCCTGAAATGCTTGTAAGCAGCCCTAGTCTAGGCCAGATCAAAGCTAGGAAGCCAGGAACTCAATCTAGTTTCTCATGTGGATGTCAGGGGGCCAAGCACTTGAGCCATGCCTTGGCCTCCAGAGTGCATGTTGGCTCATGGCCACAGGGTGGAGACAGCAGTGGCTGAGATGAGAGACTGAGCCAGGCGTGCTGCCTAAAGGTCTGAGGAAGACAGAACAGAGCTTCCCTGGAGGACGGTCTGTGCCCTGCGTGATTGTCCTGGGACCGTGAAAGGGCCAAGCCTTGTGTATATGAGAACGTGGGAAGTCTGGTGAGCCATCCTAGGAGCCTCACTTGCTGAGATTTAAATTGACTGGGGGGTATTCAACTCTGAGAAGTTAGAACAAGGCTGTACAGAGAGATGGCAATGCAGTATAACTACGTTTTGTTAAAACCAAACATGCAGTGTACGAGTTTAACACGGTTGTTGAGGTGTCACTTGGCATACCCATATCCACATCAGAGTTCCTGGATGTAAATCCCAGCTCTGCTTCCTGTTAATTCTAGCTTCCTGCTGGTTTGCACTATACAAAGCATTGGATAATGGCCCAAGTAGTTGGGTTCTTGCTACTCCCACAGAGGATCTGGATTGAATTCCTGATTCCTGGTTTTTGTCTTGGCTCAACTGTAACTGGTATAAACATTTCTGGAGTGAACCAATAGACGGGAGACCTCTATCTCTCTACCTTTGAAACACAATGGAAGTGGACAAATAAATAAAAATTTTTAAATCTCCATTACTAAAAAACAAACCTCCAAAATCTTGCTTTTCTACTCGATCCCGTGTCATTTACTTGGAGCTTAATCTCAGTCACTGTGTATTCTGCCTTAGAGAGGACCTCACGCCTCTCGCCCTGTTGATGGCCGTCGGGTTGTAGCCTGTGAAATGGAACACACCTTGAGGCCAGGTTGAGGCATTTTCCCTCTGTGGTTAGTTTCCCCATGGCTGGATTAGAGCAGGCAGCTCTGCTGGGTGCCCAGGCTCCATGGCTGGGCACTGTGAACCCCACAGTGGGCTCTGCTTGGTAACACGGTCTGTCCGTAACAACGTTGAGTTTCCTGCAGGGCTTCCTCCCTGGGTGCCCCTGGAAGTTTTGTACTGGGAGTGCAGAAGCGTGCTGTCATCCTCTGATGCTGCTAGGAAACACAGAAGGCTCCTTCCTGGGTCTCACAGAGACCTTGCTGCAAGTGCCTGGGGCGCCTGGAGTATAAATTTTCTTTTCTTCTCTGGCTCTCCATGTAGTGCTCTTGAAATTTTTTCTCTATAGAATCTGAGCCAGAAAGATAACTTGTGAGGTACCAAGTACCTACTTTTCCATGTGGCAGAGGATGGGGCCCCTTCATCATCATCCCGAATAGCTCTCTGTCTGGTATAGAGGCTCCCTCTGAACCATGGGCAAAGTGGACACCCAGCCCTGGCTCAGATTCCTGGCTGGAACCCTTGCAGCCACTGGGCTGCCAGCGCTGCCCAGTTAGCAAACACCGCAAAGGAATGTGGGTTGCAAAGATCGCTTTGCTTGCCAGCTTTGGAGCCTTGAGGGAGAAAGAGCCGCCTTCAGAAATGGCTGTATTTGGTTTTGCAGTATTTTACTTGTGAGGTTAGCTGCCTGGCTCCACTGAGCTAGGAGGCTCTGTTTCCCGTGGGAGGGCTCCAGCTGGGAGAACCAGTCCTTGCTGTCTTGTGTGCGTTTGTGGTTTGCACTGGGTTACCCCCAGAGTGTGTGTTGGGCCGCTTGCTTCTTACACAGTGATGATGCCTGGGCAGGGTCTGGGAGGGAGCTGCTGGGACTCGGGCAGGCGTTACCTGTGCTAGCTGCGTTGCCTCTGCTGGCCCGTGTGGTGGTAGACAAAGGAACACCCCATCGGTTCAGTCCCAGTTGTGGTCCCAGGGCTCAGGATGCTAACGAGAAAGGAAGAGGCTGGGGTCGAGGCGGAAGAGGGGACTGAGTTGGTATTTGTGAGCTGATGCAGTCTCCTCTTCGTGACTGTAGGGGATGCCCTTTCAGTGTCTGTCTGTATGTCTCGCTTGCTTGCCACCACACCCCCTGTCACGCACACCTCTGGTTTCTGACCTTGAACGTCAGGGAAGGCAAAAGCTCAAGTCCCATGTGGCCTGCAGCTATGGACTTGTCTCGCATATTAGTCCTTGCTGTGGCGTTCCTAACTGGGTTTCAGGAGGTCTGCAGAGCTGAATGTGCACCTGTTTCTTGGGAGCGAGGCTGTAATTTTTCTCAGATCCTCAGAGGGGGTCTGGCATCCTGAAAAGAAAATCTGTGTTTTCGGATCTGAAGCTTGAAGTCACGTGACAGGGCAAGCGGTAACTGACGCTTGACAGCCCAGCCACCAAGCGCTTCACACGCAGTTTATGGCTAAACTCCGAGGGGCGGGTATTACAGTTCTTCCTTCCTGGGGAATTGGAACCCCAGGGAAAGTTCACGCACTTCCAGGCAGCGTGTCGGCCCGGGGGACTTGGACTCAGTCTGATTCCAGAAGTTGGCACCTGACCATCCCTTAGCAGGGCCTCCCTGTCCAGCCGCACACCCCTAAGTAACTTGGTGCTGCCAGCCTTCATTCTCCTTTGCCCTTTTGTTTTACCGCTCTGACTTTTAGGGTTATCTTTTGTCGGCCCTGAACAGGTCCATTACCCTCCCAGTTTTCTTATCTTTCGAGCTGCAGAGTGAAGCTGTGTTTCAGGTCTCTGTCCTGGTTGTCCTCCTGGAAGACGCGGAGCTGAGACTTGAGGTCCCAGGCACAGGGTTGCTGTGGTGAGGAGGTGTTTGAGGAGACACGTGCGGCCAGGGGCAGATCCCATCCCGGGCCTTCCCCAGGAGAGGGTGCAGCCTCGGCCCTCGAAGGATGGCACCCGTGGGTCCCAAGGGTAGGAGAGCCAGGACTGCTTGTCTGGGCTGCCCATGTTTAGAAGTACGTTCTGCACAGACAAATTGTGATGTCACTGGCTGTGTGCGTGTGTGTGTGCGTGTGTATACTGAAATCCCTCTTTGCTCTTTCCTCACTTCAGGTTTGTCCTTTGAGTCAAGTCAAATATTTATCGAGCGTTTCTGAGTACAAAAGCAGTGTATTAAAGAGTTGTGAGGGACACAGAAAGGAAATGGCTGCCGCTGTGGAGTGTGCAGGCTCACCAGCGAGCAAGAGCCACGCGAGTGTATGTCGGAGGGACGGGGGCGGGGTCAGCACGGCTGGGTGCTGGCGGCGGGCTGCCAGAGACGCGGGGACCTGGGGGCTGGGAGGGTGAGGGTAGGCTGTCCAGGGTGAAGCTTGCATGGGTAGAGGGTGTCATGGTGCCAGCTGGGGAGGATGAGCTTGGGATCTGGGATATTCAGGAATCCCTGGGAGACGCAGCTATGTGAGGCGGGGGTGGTCATCTGGCTTAGTGTGCAGGTTGGGTCCTAGAGCGGGTACCAGATGCCAAGTCGAATTCCTTGCAAGGTCTCTGAGCATTTCACTTGTGTTTCTTTCTCACTGATACAGCCTGCTCTTGGTTGTCCATTGGTACATGGGAAATGCTCAGTATGTATTTACTTTTTCTTTGTGCTATGGGGTTGGACAAGTCAACTAACATGTATCTTCTTTGGTTTCCGGGCTCCGTGTTGTAGGAGTGCGGATTGTCAGTATTTTAACCGTAGTGTGGGCGATGTGAGGGATCTGTCACCCACAGATGCACTGAGTCTTAAATGAGAGAGAGGATGCTCTGGAAGGTAGAAAGACCTGTTTGGGTCTTGGTTGAATAGCAGCCATTGTGGACTGTCACTTAACTTCCCCTGCCGAAGTTCCAGGAGGTGGGATCCCCCTTGGCCCGCGTCAGCGCCTGCGCAGTGTCTGTTCTGCACAGGGGTCTTAAGTGAGAAGCTGATTGGTTGCAGCAACGACAAGGGAATGACAAGGAAATAGAAGGTCCCCCTGGTGTTGTGTCTCAGAGGGAGCCTGGAGTGTGGCAGGAGTTGGGGTTGGGAGCCGGGAGCAGGGTTCAAGGGCTTTGATCTGCTTTTCATTCTGTGTGCTGTTTAGAAATTTTTTTGCCCCCTTCTCTCCAACCTTGACTACTTAAGCCTTCAATAATAATAGATTGAGTTATGGTGCTATGAAATGAAGCAACTGGAGTTAGGAAATTGAACAGCTGTGTGTTGGGGCAGTTCTACGTGCGGAGGCCCAGCGAGGTGGTGATGTCCTTAACTCAGAGTCGCAGATACTCCGTCCGCGTGTCTCCTCAGATGGCCAACCGGATCGTGGACTCGGCCAGGAGCGTCCTCAACAAGTTCATACCTGACATCTACATCTACACGGACCACATGAAAGGAGTCAGCTCGGGCAAGTGAGTGTCTGGGCGCGGGAAACACTGGGATCCGAGGGTCCAGCCCCCAACCTCGGGCAGTCAATGCTCGTCTCTTTATAAACAGTGCTTCCAGCTTTAAATCCCATCTATGCTGTGTCCCAACAAAAAAAGTGAACAAGTTCTTCCCCCAAGTGACAGTGTAGAGGGGAAAAAAAATCGGTTGTTGTCAAGTGCAGGTCAACTTTTCTCTCTGTCGTGGTGACTCGCTTGCCTCCCCACAGAATATGGGTCCTGCAAAGTTCAGTTAGGTTCAGTGAAAGCCTTCCCAAACAAACTAAGGGAAAAAAAAATTGATGAGAGGTAACATAAAAGTCTATCAAAAATAGCCTAAGGAGTTTTAAATAAGAAAATGAAAGCAATAACATTTTAAAAATAATGATCTGTAGCTTGGAGATCCCAATTGTAGGCTATACTTGCATATTTAGAATGGGGGAAATGGTTTTCACCATTTATTATGAAAAGGGTAAATACAGGCAGGCAAGTTGGCAGAATGGTCTGTGAGCATCTGCTTGTGTTCTTACTGTAGTTAATGAAGAGCGTTTGGACACGCTACTCTATTTGTCAGTGTGTTTTTGTCTCTTACTGAACTGTTTTGGTGCAAATGATGCCGTCATAATACACTGGATCTGTAGTTTTGTGGTTGTATCTTCTAAAAATAAAGATTTTTTTTTAAAGATGTATTGTTTATTTGAAAGGCAGAGTGACAGAAACAGGGAAAAACAGGGGAAGGTCACTGCTTCACTGGCTCGCTACCCAGACAGCCACCACAGCCATATCTAAGGTAGACCAAAGCCAGGAGCCAGGAACTCCATCCCGGTCTGCCATGGGCTGCCCTCTCCTGCCTTCCCGTGTGCGTTAGCAGAAAGCCAGGTGAAGCAGAGCAGCCGAGACTTGAACCAGCGTGTCAGTATAGAGTGCCAGTGTTAACAGTGGCTCAACCTGATCAACGATACTAACCTTTGTGGGTGGAAGTTAACAGGGTGTTTTTAACTTCATCCAAAACAAAAATAAAACCAAACCAAAAAAGCAGCAGAGGAAGAAAATGTTAGAGATAAGAGTGTGAAAGCGGGTGAATGACGATTTTTGACCTTCATGAGGCCCAAAGGAAACAGGCAGGTGATTTCAGGAATAACAGCGGGGGCACATGGGCCAAAGCAACCAAGAGGTAGCGTCAGAGGTGAGGGTTGGGAAATGATTTGTGTGCAAAGCTGGCCCTTCGTTCTGGCAGTTTAAAGGTTGATGATTGATATCATACTGTTAGTTTATTTTTCAAACATCAACCTATTTCTTCATTTATTCATTGAGGGTAATAGTGACATCCTGGGGTTATTGTAAGCATTAAAAGCTTGCAGGGGCCAGCGCCATTGCGTAGCAGGAGAAGTTCCCATCTATGGCACCAGCATCCCATAGGCCACTGGTTCAAGTTGTGGCTGCTTCACTTGGATCCAGCTCCCTGTTAAACGTGCCTTGGAAAGCAGCAGAGGACGGTCCACATGCTTGGGCCCCTGTGCCCACGTGGGAGAACCAGAAGAGGCTCCTCACTACAGCCTGCCTCAACCCCGTCCATCATGGTCGTCTGGGGAATGAACCAGTGGGTGAAAGACCTCTGCCTCTCTGGTTTCCCTCTCTCTTTGTAACTCTGCCCTTCAAATAAGTAAATCTTTATTTAAAAAAAAAAAAAAGTTTAAAAGCTCGCATGTCATGCAGTGCCTGGTGCACAGCAGGTGCCGTGGGAGTGGTCGTTCACCTCTTTGATTGGCTTCAGGTCTGGCTTTGGAGGTGGGGGTGGATTGTGGAGGGCAGCAGCAGAAGCCGTCCAGAGGGACTGATCATGCTGAGTCCTTCTCTGCTCGGCCTCTCATTGTACTAGGAAAGGATTGTAGCCTGTAGGCCATGCCGGCAGCTGCTGCAGTGTTGCTGTGTATCACGCCACCCACTTGGCTGGCTGGTATACAGAGTTAGGTCTTATGTGTGCTAATGGTAAGTAGAGGCCTTTGTCTACATGAATCTACGTGTGGATGCATCGCCAACTTGCGGGTCATTAATTCCTGGCTCCTTCTTAGAAATTACAGGTGAAAGCAAGGTGTGATTGAAGTTTGTGTTTGATTTCTAAATCTCATATTTGAGATGGTAAATGGTGACCTCCTCCACTTAAAAAAAATTGGAGAGTCACAAAAGGGTATTTTCCTCTCGTAATGAACTCAAGTATCCATGTAAAGCAGGTGCATGCAGAGGTAGGAGTGAAACCTCGTGCCGTGGTCTTGGCCCAGCAGTTCATGGTTGCCCGTGTGATGCTTTGGGCCAGCATGCTCAGCAGTCCAGTGTCGTCCCCTGTTGGCTCCCATGGTAGTCGTGTTTTTGGAAAGTCTAGTTCTTTTGTCAGTTGGAAAGCTTCGGGGACTTATACTCTGTGGCTTGTACTGATGCAGCTCCGCAGTGAGGTTACCTTGATGACCAATTACATGGACCTTGTGTCACTCACACACACACACACACACACACACACACACACACACACACACACCCCTCATTGGGAGGGGGAGAGAGGGTGGGGTAATGATGTCAGGCTTAGTATGTGTTCTTTGTTTTATCTACAGTACCTATGGTAATTCTATTAAATGGTGTGGTCTGGATTAAATATAAAGTTTATTGTATTGATGTTTGCTTTGTTATTGGTCAGCTGCTTATTAGTATAAAAGCTAGCATAACCTAGTGTGTTAACTACTAGGCTGGCTCACTTTATTATGGAAAGGCATTTATTTTGGCTCATGGCAGTTAGGGGTACAAGGTTTAGGGGCCACATCTGGTAGTGTCCTGGCTGGCAGAGTCACAAGGAGGTGTATAGTATGATGATGGGAGATGGGGAACAAGTATGTTGGTCAGTGTTATATCCCCTCCAAAAGCCACTAGCACTCATTCCTAATGACCAGTTCTAATCCTGATCACTTCCACAATCCTGTTCAAAACCATACCACACCTCAAAAACGCTGTATGGATGGCAAGAGGGTGAGGTGACAGGCACGTGGAGGGAAGTGGCAGCGGTGGTGGCTCATGTCCGGGCCTCCCTGCCCTCATGTTCTGCTCTTCATTAGTGTGTACCACTGCCAACACTGCTGGGTTGGGTGTCCCTTGCTGCCTCCTGACCAGCGACTCAGTGGCAGCTTGGGTTTATGATGAAATTTTCCATGTGGCGCCATGTCAGTTTGTTCCTTATGACTCAGAGTGTCTGTAAAGTTTGCCTGAATGGGCCATGTTGCATGCACCCCTTCCCTTGGGCACACACATAGCAAGTAAGGCCTGAGATGCCAGTTTGTGCCCCTCCCTGCTCTACTTCCCATCTGGTCCCCTGCTGATGGCCTGGGAAAAGCGCTGAGAGATGGCCCATGTACTTGGGAGCCTGTTACTGCATTGGAGACCCAGATGGAGCCCCTGGTTCCCTGTTCTATCCTGATCCAGTTCTGGCCATTGTGGCCATCTGGGGAGTGAAAGCAGTGGGTGGAAGATCTCTTACCTTTCTCTTTCTCTCTCTCTCTGTCACTTCCACTTTCAAATAAATATTTAAAAAAGAAAACGATACATTCCATCCTGACTAGATGTAGGATTCAAACATCAGCTTAAAAAAAGAAAGAAGCAAGGACAGACTGATGTATTGCTCTCATTCATTTTGCACAGTTTTTCTCATACAGAGGTTTGGTTAGTCTCCTAGTGGATGCTAGAAGGTGTTTTCTAAGCACAGCTTGAATTGTGTTCGTGGTGACAGGTCTGTGTCACAGCTGCATGCTCAGTGTATTGTCAAAAAGGCTGCCACATCTGATGACATTTCCTTAAGAGAAAACTGAGCCAATTAGATTTGAATTTTATGGAGAAGTGTGTGTTTTTATTGTTTTTTTTGTGTGTGTGTAGTCAACCTGGTTGACACTAAGCCCCATGAGGGTAGAAATTCCTGTGTTTGCCCATGGTATGCCTAAGTTTCTGACTCCTGCGTGCTTTCCCCTAGATGTTTGTTAATGTGTGAGCAAATGAGGCCTTTGTGGTCCTGGTCAAGAAGGGTCTTAAGTTCTGGTCATTGGGCAATGGAAACACCCTGGGACAGAGCGCAATACCATCTGCTTTGTTATATTAATGAAATTCTGAGCTTGGAGCTGTCCCTCAGGTATAAAATGTCAAGGTGTTTGTTCTCTAGGCTGCTTTGGCTTGTGTAGGAAAAAGGCTGATGTTTCTCCAGAGGATTGAATCTGATGCTCTGTAGGGCCATGTGCGTCTGGGTGTGGTGTGACAGAGGACTGCGTGAGCACTGGGGTGGAGAACTTGCAAAGGTTTTGGAGTCCGGAAGACCTGTGCTTGCAACTTACCTCTGTCTGTCACTTCCTAGCCCTGCGGCCTCAGCACAGTTGCTTCATCTCTGCATTTCCTCATTTGTAAAATGAAGATAGTAATATCTGCTCTGCCGAGTTGTCATATCACAGTATATTGTTTCCAAAACTCCCACCTCGGTAACTGCCAGAAAGCAGGTGCCCAACATGGTCTCGGTAGCTCTTGTTCGCGTTATCACATCTTGTTGCTTATTGCTGGCTTCCACAGGAGGCGCCTTTTTAGGGTAGGAGGGGAGAGAGAGGAGAAGGGGCAGGACAGCTAATAGGAAAAGCAACAGGACTTTGTGTGTCTCTCTTAGGTTCCGTTTGTGAGCCCTCACCACATGGTCTCTCTATGCATCAGTGAGTAGGAACTCCAGCCAGCCTAATGGGACGGGAAGGAAGCCTTAGGGCATAGTGCCACACAGAAGGCTTTCATCTGCTCTGGGTCCTGGAGAGCATGGGCCCCTCGCCATTCGCCCCACTCAGCGTCTGTGCCTTAAATCCCCAGGTCACCAGGCTTTGGCTTGTCCCTGGTTGCTGAGACCACCAACGGGACCTTCCTCAGTGCTGAACTGGCCTCCAACCCCCAGGGCCAGGGGGCAGCTGTGCTTCCAGAAGACCTTGGCAGGAACTGCGCCCGGCTGCTGCTGGAAGAAATCTACAGGGTAAGTCCTCAGCCTTACCCTCAGGCTTCTGGGAGAGCAGCGGTCAGGAAGCAGTGGGCTGCCATGCTCTCATCCTTGCTCCCTACAGACATCTCTTCCTCTTCCAAGGGCTGAAGCCACGCAGTTAAGCAGTTCCCACTGATGGAATGGTTTCCTGTTAACTAGGTGAAACGAGATGAACAGGGATCCAGTCCCAGAGCACACTTTTTCCTATGTGTTTGTGAAAGGGGGTGGGGCGGGGCGCAGAGAGACAGATGACCAGTAGAGCTTCCGGCTGCTGGCTCGCTGTCCAGATGCCTGGACGTCCACAACCAGGAAAGAGCTGGGAACTCAGTTAAGATTTGCCAAGTGGTATGGAGCCAAGAACTGGAACCATTCTTTTCAGATTGTGCATTTTTAGGAAGCTGGAATTAGGAACCAAAGTTGAGAATGGAAACCTAGGCATTCCAGTGTGGGTCATGGTTGGCTTAGCCAGAGTGCTAACTGCTAGGCCAAATACCTATCCCAGGGCTGCCAAGCTGTTTTTGTTTTTGTTCTTAAGGATTTATGGAGAGATGGAACAATAGAAAATGATCCTCTATCTGTTGGTTCACTACCCAAATGGCCGTTATGGCCAGAGCTGAGCTGATTGGAAGTCAGGAGACAGGAGCCTCTTCTAGGTCTTCCATGTGGGTGCAGGGTCCCAAGGCTTTGGGCCATTTTCTACTGCTTTCCCAGGCCACAAGCAGGGAGCTGGAAGGGAAGTAGAGTAGCTGGGACACAAACTCATGCCCATATAGTATCCCAGCACTTGCAAGGTGAGGATTTAGCCACTAGGCCATCACACCAGGCCTGCTTGGCAACTTTCAGCTGTGGGTTGAGGAAGCAGCTGGACAGTCATAAAAGGGAGAAGGTAAAAATGAATGCTTTCCATAAGATAATGTAGTGACTGGTATGCTACTCTGGCCAAGGAGGATGCTGTCCTCGTGAGAATTGGGGCTCATTGTTTTCAGGTTGTTCAAGAGAAGCTGGAAATCTGGATTTGCATATAATAATTGGTTCAAACATAAAGTTGTGCCAGTAGACTAGACCTTCTCAGTGTACTCCCGAACACGGAAGTGCATTTCAGGAAGGCAGGCCTATGTTACAGCATGGTAGGGCAAACACGGGGACACAGGGCAGAGAAAGGACGACCCAGAGCAAAGGACACTTCAACCAGCTGCCATTTTACGGGTGCAGCTCTGCTAATGGGACAGGCTGCCATAGCTCACACCACTGCAGCCCGTCAGTTGACCAGTCTGGGAATGTGTGTGCACAGTACACGTGCATGTGCGGGCGTGCTGGTGCTCCCAGTGTGGACGTGGCCTAAAGTAAGGAAGAGATGGAGAGGGCAGCCCAGGGAATAAGGTGCGGTTGCCTGGAGATGCATGCTCTCAGATCCCACACACGTCGGGGAGGAGGAATGCCCCACATGTGGTTCTGAGAGGTCCGTTTTGCCTTGGGCACACACACACACACACACACACACACACACACACACACACACACACATGGTGGTGAAATCTTCTCCACATGCAGACGTTGAGCCAGTCCTGGAGAGGTGGGAATGTGTGCTGTGTGTGTGTGCCAGGCCTCGTGTTGTGGAACTGAGTGCTGGCCAGCACTGTGCCCTGGATGGGTTGCTGCTGAAGAATGCGGAGCGTTTGTGAAACCTCTCTCTTCTGGCCCGAAGGACACGCGAGTCTTCTCTCTTTGCATTCATCTGGATGTTTCTTCTGAGTTCTTCGTCATCTCCGTGGTCTCCAAGGACATTTTGCACTGTATAGAATCACGAAAATTCTCATTGAGCCCAGGGAAAGGATGTTAGTAATACAGGCAAAGGGATGGTTTTTTGTTTTTCTTTTGAATTTTTTTTTTTTGTGCCATTGGTCCAGTCTATTCATCATGTGGTAGGTGAAGCTGGGGCCATGGACAATGCTGCCAGGTTGTCTTAAGCACAGAAGGCAGCTTCGGGGTATCGTCTGCTCCCGTTCTGAAAAACAACAGCTCCTCAGCCCTAAATGAGAATGAGCTGTTTCCCAATCCCAAATGACCTGCAGTTGCGTCTTCCGGAGAGTGCCCCCGTCCCTGGGGAAAATTGTGCAGGTTGGAGCTCGAGTCGCGAAGGAGCAGGTTCTGTTTTGTCAGTCTCCTGCAGTCCCAGTCTGCCCTCCAATATTTGGTGCGCACTGAATCATTTCAAAGTTGGATGCTAAATTTAGTGGAGCCTTGAAAGATGAGTACCGAGTGCAAGTGCAGGAATAAGTGATCCAGGAGTTAACCTGCCAGTTACTCCATGCTCCCGTTCGGCCATCTCCTCATGGGAGCTGGAGAAAAAGGCGGCTGTGTCCTGTGTGTGCCCTAGTCCCTTGCTGGCCTGTGCAGGTTTCCCTTCCTTTGTCCTGTGATGGCCTCAAGGCCCTCTTCTGCCCAGAGAGGTACTTGGGTCCTTTCCTAACAGACCCTGGGGGGACTGGAAGCATCATGTTATGGAAGGGTCCTGTGGAGCCCACGGGCACAGCTGCAGTGTGAGTTTCTGTCCCTATAAATAGCGGAGTGTAAGCTTCAGGGGCAAGGCGCAGCCCACCAGTCCGCCAGAAGAAAAACTGCAGCCTGGGTTAAGCTATTATTATGTTTTTTCCTTTCCTCTAATTGAGATCTACTTTAAACCATTTTATAGTATCTGGACCAAATTTGTTTGTTTTGTTTTAGTCGTTAAGAGAACTTCCTTTGTATATCTGTCATGTTTAATTATTGGAAGGGTGGAACGACTTCATGTGTTTTTTTTGAACAGTTCTCTGCGGATCCGGGATGTGACACGATTTCAAAGAGCATTCAGCATGTGTTCCTTTTGGAGAAGCTCTGCCATCTTACTGATCCCATCCCTGCTGCTGGCATTAGCTCCCCACTGGTTACCAGGCCCTCCTGCTTCTCTCCCTGACAGCTGGAGCTGCCCGCTCCGTGGCTTCTCCCCGACCCGCTCTGTCCGCTGCCTCTGCCCTGAATGCCCCCCGCCATACCTGTGGGCCAGAAGGCCTCTTCGAGTCCTCCAACCTCCTTGTCACTCGCAGTCTCGGCTCTAACACCTGTCTAGCCTCCTAGTTCCTGATCTCCACCACTTCCTCACTGTCCTGAAAGAGGAGCCCTGATCTTGTTGGAAAGGTGCTACCGCTCTAGCCAACCCACCTCCTTCCTCTGCCTGTCAAACCCCTTCCAGACCCGCCTGCTGGCTGATCCCTACTGGATCCTGGGGCGTTGCTTCCCCTTCTTCCTGTTCTTCCCTCCTCTCTTTCCTGGGCCAATTCCAGTCCCACCCTGCAAAGTCTTCCTTCAGTGTCAGGTGGTCACGCCCCGCCCCCTTGGCAGTCTGGTAGCTCCCATGACTCTGTCCTGCACATACTAACCCTGTACAAAGTTAAAAGCTATGAGAGTAGAACAGCAATGAGAGTAGATTTGGTTTGATTTTAGGCAATCATATGGAAGGTAGCAAGACCTGTGACACAGGATCCTCACATTCCCCGTGGGGGTCAAGTTTTTCCTTTTTGTGTGGGGAAAGCATTGTTATCTTAAAATCTGCTAATGAGAAAGCTCCTTTTCCCCTTGTATTCAGCGGTTAAGGAAGAGCCAGCAGGAGGCTCACACCCTAAGTTAGGATAGGATGTCCTGACTACGCAGGGCTGGCACCACTGTTGGGCCTACTACGTGCAGCCTGACAACCAGAAAATGGGATTATTGTATTTCCCATCTCGGAGCCATCCAACAGGAGAGAGCGGGGGATGTGGTTGTGTTCCAAAACATCCAGCCAGGGTCAGCACCTGGCCTTCTCATTGTGAGCTCTGCAAAAAACAGACAGAAGGTCCTCTTGATTTCCTGTGTACAGTGTAAATCTGCATCCCTGTAAGTCAGGTTATCCTAGAACGACCAGAAGACATTTTGTGAGGGCGCGGACATCTGTACCAGCAGTGTATGCGAGAAGCCAGAAGGGCCAAATCAGTTGAGCGACTCCAAGAATGGGAGGGCAAAGGCAGCCACAGCAGGTTGTTGTCCATCAAGAGAACGTCGCAGAAGAGGTTTCTGTTGTACTTACTAAGGAAAAAGGAAGGAGAGAGGTGGAGAATGGGGAGGATAACATATAAGTCTCAAGAATGGAGGGATCTGACTCTAGCCACAGTGGGGTATAAGGCATATGGGAGGCGAGCAGCTGGAGGAGGGGGTTCATGTGTCAGGTTGGATTTCAATAGTTTGGTTGTAAGACTCTTTTGTGTATTAGTGGTGGTTCGGTTGTATTAAGTAAATGTGAGCACTGTCGGGCCCCCAGCTCAGTAGCCTAGCAGCTGAAGTCCTCGCCTGGCACGTGCTTGGATCCCATATGGGCGCCAGTTCTAATCCTGGTGGCCCCGCTCCCATCCAGCAGCTCCCTGCTTATGGCCTGGGAAAGCAGTGGAGGATGGCCCAAAGCTTGGGGATCCTATACCCACAGGAAGAAGCCCCTGGCTCCTGGCATCAGATCGGCTAAGCTGAGGAAGATCTTCCTCTCTATCTCTCCTCCTCTCTGTATCATCTGCCTTTCCTATAAAAATAAATCAATCTTTAAAAATATAAATGAACGCTGTCTGTTTGACCCCTGGGGTAGACTAGCGTCTCCCAGGGTGTTTGCTGCTTGCACTTGATTCAGTGCTCTGATTGCGTGGGAGTCACTGGCTTTCCAGCACCTCGTCTTGAGGAACTGTGACTGCCTGTGTCTCTCGCGTCAGCTGCTCCGGTGCTCTGCGTGGCAGTTGACACGAGGCCTCGTCTCCTAAGCTTGTCTTGTCCCATCACCGCGCGCCTCTTGACATCTGTTGCTTCTGAGTATGTGTTCCTGATTCTTTTTTTTTTTTTTCCCCTTCCCGTCTTTTGTTGCTTTGCCCCTTGCAGCTTCTGCAGTGTTTTTAATCATTAAAGTGTTTGTGTTTACAGGGTGGATGTGTGGACTCGACCAACCAGAGCCTGGCCCTGTTGCTCATGACCCTTGGACAGCAGGATGTTTCCAAAGTCCTCTTGGGGCCACTGTCTCCCTACACGTGAGTCTTCTTCCTTCTCTCTTGTCACCCTGTCCACTTGAATGGCCTGATCACACACAGTGACGGCGTGTCGCGTGTAGTCAGGCTATGCGATGGCTGGCAGCAGTCACTCTTAATCTAGTATTTCTTTTTATGCAGAAGGAGTTTTTGCCTGCTTTCCTCCTTCATTCCCACCTGCGATTCCCTCGTAATAAAACATTGCTGCTTATTTCTTGGGCAGTCTTTTTTCTTTTTCCCTCCTGTCTATGCTTTAGATGTCATTTCCTTAGTTCTGTACAGCTTGTGTTTTATCCCTAACCACCCCCCTCTTTTGTTTTCATTCTTCCTTTGTCAGCCTTACTTGCTGTGGAGAAATGGTTTTTTTTTTTTTTTTTGTCTGGGATGGTAAGACATGAGTTGACTAGAAAAGATGGGGCAAGGTGAGGTTGATGGTAATGTTACTGTGCCTGTAGGGAGACTGTGGGGGCGAGTTTGCGTTGTGTCGGTTAGGCGGAAGTTGTGTGCTCAGGTGTGAGAGTAAGCAGGCAGCACAGTGGCAGACGCTTCCCCCTGGCTGAAGTGGGCTGCCAAGATCCCCCCCTTTGGAGTACCGACATGCGTCCCACGTGCACACGTGGGCTTCTGTCCGTCCAGATGGCTCTGCGGTCATCTGTGGGTGAGGAGCTGGCCGGAAAGAAACACTCGGAGAGATACGAGACTGAACTGTCCTTTTTCGGTTATCATGGTACCGATGCTGTATGTCTGAAAGGTACAGTACTGTGATAACTGAAGAATGGTGGTGCCATCACATGGAGAGGGACCGGGGATGCTGGCGTAGCAGTGCAGCTTCGAGCCTGGCTTCCGGGCGTGAAAACTAGAAAGACTCTGCTCCTGGAGGCTCCTTCCTTACTCTTACCCCTACCCTCTTTCTGCCCCTTGAGTTGGTAGTGGAAGGTCATTTTGCAACAGGAAAGTGAAAGAGAATCTATTCTGTTAGCAGTACAGGAAGACAGATAAGCCAGAAATTGGTAAGTTACATTGTCTCCTGACGACTATGGACAGTGTTTCACAGGCCAGAAAACCCGGAATTGCGTAATCCCCAAGAGGCACGCTGACATCGGTAGCCGACTTGGCCGATACTTCAGTTGGTGGTTGGTGAAGCCTTCGGAGAGGCACAAAGAGCTGGGAGTACAGCACCGCAAAACTGCACAGCTGGGCTTCCCGTACAAGTCGCTGGAAGTGGCTGCCAGCTGTGGGTCTACCCTGGCCCCCGCAAGCTCTTCAGGTCCTTTCAATGCTGTCGCTTTTGCCAGCAGCTACTCCAGGGCAGCAGACTGCCCGATCACTCACACAGCGGGAGGCCTTGATGCCGAATGTGTGTGGTCCTGGGACACAACTTGGGCAGAACATTATGTGAAAAATGTTTGATTTTTTTCTTAACACTTTTTTAAAAAAAATTTAAGCTTCTGGGAAATTTTTCAGTTTGGTTCCAAGGCCTTTTGTAATCTTTTCCAATCAGCAGCCTTGTTGGAGATGGTGACTGGGCATTTTGTAAAGTCCTGTGTTTTCCATAGCAGGTCCCTCACCGAACAGTCACTGTAGTGGCTTACCTTACCTAAACTGCCTGCATCGCACAAGAAAGCAGAATGGTTCACTCTGAATGGAACTTTAAGGAGTAGGACAGACTGTCAAGATCATGTGTTTGGCGCTGGGGAGACCTTCTCTGCCTTCTAGATGACCTGCCCTGCCAGGGCCTTCTTGCCGAGGACCTGCCCTGGAGTGGGCTTCCCTTCTTTTGGGGTAGCTAACACCAACAGAGGGAGGGGGCTTGTTATTCTCAAGAAAGCTGTATCTGTGTCTGAGCAGCCTACAGAGGCAAACGCTGAAGTTGGGCTCCAATTGACAAAGCTCCCGTTGTATTTAGTGGTTCTGTCAGTAGTGAAATGGGACACAGTTATAAAGCAGGGTCATCGTGGTGTGTTTGGGGGGAGAACTGGGGAGCCGACAGCTTATTCTAGTTGGATTCAAGAGCTCTGGCAAGCGAACTATCACATTTATTTTTATGAGCATTTAGGATCATAGAAATGTTTTTGTGAAACCTCAAATGTCTAAAGAAAAACAGAAACAAGACCATCTCTCTCTCTCTTTTTTGTTTTGCTTTTTTCTTTTTTAAATATGTTTCTTCTGGCAATTTGCACATGTGTTGACTTGCATAAATAGCTTTTGGAATGTCTGTTTCCAGAGTTCTGGGATTAAGAGGAACTTGCTCTTCCATCCCTTTTGGAAAGTAAGAACGTTGAGTTCCTTGCTGTCCTCCTCTTGCCTCAGTCTTGCCTCAGTAGGTGGTCGCTGGTGCTCACTTTCAGAAGTGAGTCCCTGTGAAACTCCCCAGCAAAATCAGAGCCTTTTTATTTTTTCAGTAAAGTTAATAGTATTGGATAATCTGCTGGTATATGGAGAGTCTATTTCTGTTAGATATCTTTTCTTAAGGGATTTACAGTTGGTGACAGTGGTTCAGTCTTTCCTTCATAAAGCTTAAATTTTCTGCTTGTGAAGTATTTGCACTTAATTTTGTTGAAGTTGAATTTACAAGAAAACAGTCTTTGTTATTAGTTGGCAGCTTCCTTAGCAGGTGCAGAAGTTGTGAAGGGATTCTATAATGATCAGGGTTCGCTGAGTTCTGCCAGGACTCAGACCGTGGGGTCCAGGTCTGCCTGACTCTATCATGGAACCACCAGGAAGGAGGTCGTGGACTTGACATTTTATGTCTCTGAGCCTTGGTCTCACCTAGAGGACGAGTGAATGCTCTGGAAGTCGTGCACTTTGGCCAGGGTGGAACCATGCTCGTGAGACCCCTGGGAAACCAAGTCAGTGTCAGGTGTCCGGGATTCCTTCTGGACACTCCCTTGTGCCCTACTCTAGTCCGTTCTCGCAGACAGGTCTCTCTGACCACCAGGAGGCATGTTGAACTCACCTAGAGAGATCTCAGGCCTAAGTGAACAGATGGCTAGCTCCTTCTGTCTTAGTTTTACAGGAATGACTTGTGTGTGTGTTATGACCAGCGATTCTGTACTGGGAAGGGTGGTGTCAGATGCCTCCAGCTTTTCAGCCCTTCAGTGGGTATCATTTACCCAGCGAGGAAGGGAAAGGTGGACATTGGTACTGTCAGCTTTGCAGGTGAAGGGATGGAGGTCCAGAGCGCTTCAGCCGCGTGAACAGAGAGTAAGTGGGGTTCAGGCATGGGTGGTTTCCTAGCAGAGCCTCTGCTTCCGGTCACTGTATGAACAGGAATTCCCAGCGACCTTGCCCAAGGCAGGATGCCATGCTCCCCTCTGCGGCAGGGCCGGAAGTATCCCATACTGCTGGTTTGTTTCCTAACGTTAGGAAGCTGGAGGCTGCTTGTTTATCACGTGCAGCGCAGGACTTCTGGGCCAGTGGAAGTACAGTCCCATGAAGATGGGACAAGATAACGAACGCTCGGGAGGTTGGTGCTGCTTATGCACAGGTGTCGGTGAGCCCTCCCAGCCTCCCAGCTCGACCTCCAAATCCAGAATGTGTTACCAGTGCTGCACAGCCCTGTCATCTTTGTTGCATGTGACCCCAGCATACACAAGGACACTTCAGAAAGTCCACAGGAAGACTACATTGAAACGAAAGTGCTATTTGGGAGCAAGCACATTTTTGTCATCCGCACGTAGTTTTTGCAGAAGGCACATCTTCCAGGCACTCCTTGAAGAGGCCTCCTAGTTGGCATAATCTGGCATGAAGGTGTTACCTAGCTTCTCAGCTGAGGAAGCTCAGTGTGCTGCCTGCAGTGACTTGCTGCTGGAATTGAACCGGGATCGCCATCTCTCAGGTTTACGACCAGCCTGGTTCCCTGTTTCCAGCTGCCTCTGCAACCGAGTTTAGCAGCTGTGAATCGGCAGGGCTTTGGGAAAGCACCATCGAAGTATTTTAGAGCTGCCAGGTGATGGCTCCAGGGGCCAGAATTGGGCAAGGTCTTCTCTTATCACGACATCTTTACCCTCAACTTCTGGGGAAATCTTGGCGGGGCAGAAAGTATAGAACCCTGCGCTATGGTTTGTGTCTGCAGGACTGGCCCCAGGTTACTGCCTCTAATCGCTCTCGCTCTGCTCTCTGACACTGTGAGGACCTGGTGAGAAGGGCTAGGTCTGGGGTGCTGGGACCCGGCAGCCTGGCCATCAGGAAGCCCTGGACTGCTGGAGTTCATTGGCCGTGAACTTGATGGTCGGCAGCAGCAAGAACAGCCCACCTTTTAAAAACACAAAAGGAAAAATGAGCATAGTTGTTCTGCAGTTCTCTGAAAACTCCTTGTCAGAGGGACTGGAGGCTTCCATACAAATGTCAGTTGTCAATGTTTTTAGTTGACTTTGTCCTGACAACTAAATGACTTTGTGCTGAAACAAAAAGAAGGGTGAGAAGCCCCCTACAAATGCAGTTCTCTAAGTGAGGAGTTACAAATTCCGCATAGGGCATGCATGGAGCGCCCCCATGGCCTAGCTTCATCTGAAGAGCTGCCAGTTGCTCTCAGCATGCTTGCCTGCCTGGATGGAGTTGCCCTCACCGCACTGTGCCCCCTGTCCTGGCTGTTTGGTTGTGTGGTCTTCCCCAGAAAGTGGGAACCTGCAGACTGTGTAAGAGAGAGAAGGCAAGGATTGTGCACTTGGGAGATGCTGCCCTGGAGGAGCTGCAGCCGTGTGGAGCTCTGGGACTGGAGAGGGTGTGACCTACGCTGAGTGAGGCTTCAATTCAACTCGCTGCTTCAGCAACTGCTCGGGACTCCCTTTGGCAGTACCTGGGTTTGAGTCCTTCCTCCACTTCTGATCCAGCTTCCCACTCGTGTGCAGCCTGGGAAACAGCAGGTGACGGCTCGAGTGCTGGGGTCCCTGCCGATCATTTGGCGGACTCAGATAAAGCTCCTAGCTTCTGGCTTTGGTGTGGCCCAGCCCTACTTGAGGTGGACATGTGGGGGAGTGCACCAATAGATGGGAGATCTCTCT